AGATGTCACAGACGACCATCTGAGCTTTTCATATAACTAAGGGATTGGAAGCAGCAGGAGCATACAGGATATGCCCATGATCCAAGCTACTGCAGACAGCATAATACAGTAGATTATATCTTTCCAGTTCTTAAAGGAATACTTCACCCTCATGATGACCATTTGATATTCAGCTGAATTTGGGAGGAAAATTCTTTTTCTCACGTCTACACAGTGAACGAGGAATCCAAAAACAGAAAAAAGTCTTGATGAATTGAAGTGAGAGGGGCTGCGTTTAACAACAGCAAAACTTTATTAAAACATCCGCTAACAAACTCTCACACAACTTGTGCAGTATAATCCAACTCTCATATACGGTCTCACACATGGACACATAGTGCGCCCGCACTGTTTATGGAGAAGTGTTTTGAATATTACGGTTTGAGTGAAAATGCAGTGTTTGGAAAGAAGTGCGCACACGACTGGTTAAATGAAACTTGGATTATACTGCACGAGTTTGCAAATGGATGTTTTGATATACCGTAAAACCAAACACATTCTCACTCGGACCTCGTCACATATCGTCGTTTGGTCGTGGACCTTCTGTGTCCACATATGACATGAAAGATACCCTGGGTTCGTTGGTTGTTGATGTTCCAGAACGCAGTGTGAAGTTCTGCCTGTTACATGTCTTCTTTCAAAATACACTTCAGTTTTCACAGGAAATTTACTGTTTACATACAGTCTCTTTCAAAATAAACACACTGCGAATGTACAACATACCGAATTGATGTTCTTTTTTTCCACCATCAACTAATACGTGGTTAGGTTTAGGAAAAAAGAATGGGGTTTGGCTTTATAATCTTATTGGACGGTCGGTGTTTGTTGGCCCTGTCCATCACCCCTCCCACCCGCACTACACTGACTTTTGCCACTTTGACTTTTGTTCTTGTCCCACCAAGTTTCCTCCTTGACACCGCTGAGTGCTGTGAAAATATAACTGCGACCGGTCGCGTATCATGCCGACGTTAAAGGACAGCTTTTTTCACCAGTGTCTGACGCTGCAAGTCACTGCCCAAGCGCCGGATTTTGACGACTTCGAGTGAGACCGGATTGGTAAAACTGCAATTAGTAGCCCAGGCTATTATTTGCTTAAATCACCGAACTTAACAGGCCTATATTAGGGAGAGGCCTTTAATTCTTTTACATGAAACTGTTGCTCAGCTAAGATGGGAAATACAATTAAATTGTTTATTTGAACCAGGATGGATATTACTTGTATAAAAATGAGGCTTCGAATAACATCAATTACAAATCATTCATTTAATCTAACTCTGACAGACAGAGCCCAGACAGAGAGAGTGTTATGATACTCATTTCATGGCACTTGAGGATTACGACACTCATTATATGACACAACACCACTTTATCCTGATAAAACAAAATCTATAACTTGGATGAATTTTTATGCAAAAACTTTGTGATTCTTTTGATCGTTGGACCCTTATGGACTAAAGGAATTTGAATAACTTACCGGGTAATCAAGGAACGGACACACATTCTGACTTTAAGACAGCTTCAGGGGAAGTGAGTCACCACTTATTTTTCATCATGCCAGTAAATCTGGATGAATTGCTGTCTTCTGTGGTGCTCATGGTTTCAGTTAAATGAACTGAACTACTGAGGGCGTGCACGACGGCAGCAAGCAAGAACTACGGCAGAGAAAGAACCATATTTAAAATGAGGAGCAGTAAGATGATAGGCAGACAGAGAAGGTGTGTCACTGTGCTGTTGGCTGATTGTGAATCAACTGATGACACAATTGACCTACCCAGACAATGCCACCTAGAGATAGTGAATGAGCATACATGCAACAAATGAATGGCAGGGTGAGAAAGAAACTTACAGCCTGAGCATGAAAAATGTTTTCTTCCTTACTGAACTTTAGCTAGAGCTTCATTAGCGGCTAACTGATGAACATAGTGAAGCATTTAGCTACTAGAGAGCAAAACATATCTCTCAGGAGGTGGTGGAGACCAAAAACTGAGCTAAATGGAGAGCAAGTACTATACTAATGTTGCTCCATGTCTTCTGGATGTATAAACAACAAGAGAAACTCAGAGGAAAATTGCTATGCCAGAGAGTCAGTTCACCCTTCCTTACACGACATGAAGAGCCTTAGCGGCAGCAGGTTACCCGTTTACACTGGTCATGTTAAATCAGAGAATGAACCTTCACAGGGGAACAGAAACAGAGCAAAATCTATTCAAGGAGAGTTGAGTCAGGCCCTGTGGAGCCAGGCTGGCTTAGGGTAAGGCTCAGGTTCACAGGAGGCGTCCCTTATGAAATGGGGCTTATGTAACCTGTCGTAGCTGCGGCTCTCCCCTCCTCAGATGGGCATGGTGTGGCTGAAACCCTAACAGTGAACATGACACACTCAGACGCCTTAACAGTCTTTTCAGACACCAGGCTACACAGACACATTTGTTTTTGATTAATGTAAAATGTAAGAAACGTCACAATTACATTTCTTACCTCAAATATGTGAAACCAAACTCCACATGTGCCTCTGGGCTGTACGTTTCCTTCATATGGCATGTATTTACTATAGTATATTACATTATTTACCACAGGCAAGCAGCTTCCCAGGCCGCTGAAAGCTCAGCAAGGGAATAATCTCCAGCTCTCCACCACTGACATGGAGACTAATGCTGGCTCTCCGAGCAGTTTGTGGTGATGACAGTGGTTTGTGGCATCATGTGAATCCAGGAATCTGTTTATGCAATGGAAATGTAAAGGAGCTTTCAGTGAGCAGCAGGAGCAAGAGACTGCAACTGAGCTTTTCCTCCATCATACACAAGATTACTTAAAGTGATTACACAGGTGTTGTACAGCTGTTGAAAGCAACTGCATCTGCCTTTATCTGTGTTCCTTTTCTCCTCACGGCACTGTTTGTTGACGTTATTGATGAATTTTGGGGAATTGTTTATAACTCGCAAACATCACATCCATTATCTTTCAGCATCAGAGTGCAAGCCATGTAGTCAGCCCTGTGAGCCTCCCAGTACCCAGCTCAGTGTCCTGCCTCATGCTGCCAGCGGGACGGGATCTTCCTCCTCTCTTTCCCCCGCCTCCATCGCTGAGGATGTCTTCTTTGGTAGCACCAATAAAGACCAGGTAAAGCTCTTTAGTCTTGAGTTGGATCCTTATTATTTTCAATATTTTTCCTTCCTTTTTTAGCCATGCTGGCAGCCCGGCTCTTGGGACGGCAATGCCTGTCAGACTAAAATATCTCAACAACTATTGGAGGGATTACGGTTCCCACATGATGAATCCTCACAAATCTGGCGATCCCTTGACTTTTCATTTAACACCACCATAAGATGTACATTTTTGTTGTTTTTTTTTAAATTGAAAAATCTGTCCTTCAGTAAATGGTTTTATTATTGCAGGAAGAGTTGTTTTAAGGTACTGGAAAAATACAACCCCCCCAGAATTTACTGAATGGCTCAGACGTATGACAGAAGCTTCCTATTAGCTGAGGTCTGGGATAACTTCTTTATATTTATTAAGAGCTCATGACATTGAAGTACATATGGGTGCATCTGTGAAATATTTTTGTTGTTTTATTTGACAGTCTTTCTGCTTTTGTTTTTGATTATTTTATAAGTCATCTATTTAAAAGAAAATCAATAAAAAATTAAATGACAAAAACTGTCCAAAACTACTGGACAGATTGCTGTAACTTGTGGTTCAGACATTCATGTCCTAAGAGGATGAATTGTATTAAATTTGATCTTCCATCATAAGGTCATATTTTAAGTTTTTGACCACCCTGATTGTGACGTTGGGTGACCAAATTCAATGTCATCACAGAATACTGATGATAGGTGACACTGATATTTTGTTAGTTTAAAGTTGTTTTAAGTTTTAGTAACCAAATGTCTTCCAAACATTTCGTGCCAATGTTATCTTGAAGTTGAATAATGACATTTAGTCTTTATGTATAGAGACCAAAACCCAATCTCTGCAAAACATCTTTAGGTTTAACTCCACACGTGAAATTCTAACATTGTCAGACGTAAAATATCATCAACCCAATTTTCAGTCCAACCAAAATTTAACATCCAATGAAAAGTTCCAACCTCTTTCTGACAACATATAGGCCTAGACATCCGGTGCTTGGCAAGTACCTGTGAAGCTAACGACATTCCCTTCAACCTTGGTCCTACTTTGTGTTTCGAGCTAATTAGCAAACGTTAGCATGCTAACCTTCTTAAATAAGATGGCAAATATGGAAAACATTACATCTGTCAAACATGTTAGCAACTATGATTCCATGTGCATTTCTTTTATTTTGATGACATTTTGGCTCTTTGGGCCTTCTTCAGTATCTTAAAAAAGGCCCAAAGGCCAAAAAGTCATGCTAGCAGCCTAGCTTAACACTTGTTTTTCTACAATCAAGTCTACTGCCAATGATCAGCACCTCATTATAATTCTTGGTGTGCATGACTTTTTTATTCTAAGCAATGTTAGCATTGTCACTGTGAGCATGTTAGCATTAAGCTAATGCAGTAGACTTAATTGAGAATTTCTTTGAATTGGGGCTGATGTTAACGATATATTTTTCTAAATTTCGTCTCTGTAACCCATGTCTATCCTATTTCTTGGCTCTCTTCTTGCAGGATACATGTTCAGTAGTCAGTGACTACGACTGCCCCTGTGTGGAGGTGAGTAGCAGTGTGGAGGACCTGCTGGCCTTCAGCTCTTCTCTCAGAGACTCAGAGTACTTTAAAGACCTGGAGGGAGGGATACCAGCTTCACAGTCCGCTGCATCCACAGTATCAACAGTCCCAGAGAGTAAAACCCTATCAGTTGGCCTGCAGGTGTCCCTAAACACAGACAGTCCTTCCATCAATCAGCCTGTACAGACTTCTTCAGGTTACCCCCCTCAGGTCAATGCACCATCTCCCCCCTACTTTTTACACCCTGCAGAAGAACCTCATCAAAACTTTGTGGTCACTCAGCTTTGTCCGAAGTTACTGCCGGATTGTATCATTGACAGCAGTGACACGTCAGACCCTGCCGTAGGGCTCAGCTTGACAATTAATCTGAATGGACTATTGGGATCAATGGAAACAACCAAAGGAATATCAGGATCAGAGGAAGTAAAGGAGCAACCCTCTATGGATTTCGATGGAGAGGCAGACCTGGATAGCTTTCCTATTCTGGTCAGGTCCATGTCAACGTCTCGGAGGCACAGCTGGGGTGTCCCTGTGTCCCCCATTACCCTGGGGAGGAGGTAAGACGGATGATAGATAGAGAAGGATAGACAGAAATAAAGGGAGCAATCTCATGAGGATGAATTAATACAATATCAATATAATTACAGTCTTTCATATGTTCTTACCTGATAAGTTAAGTTCATTGTTACTCTCAAAAACAACAACACAAAAAACCTTGCTGTGCTCTTAAGCTGAGCTCAGTGTTTCTGGTGGTTAGTGGGTTGTTCTTTCACATCTTCTTAAATAATGCAGGCTACTTCAGGGTGTGAATATGAACAGTGCACCAAAATACCAAATGAAAAACAAAACTGAAAAACAACACAAAAATAAACCATGGTCACAGAGTGTCTTGCTCAAGAGTTTTGTTTGGTTAGACTAGATTTCACTGCCTGGTGAACCCTCCGCTGTGTCTCTGTGTTTGTTGCTATGCTGTGCTGCCAGACTGAGCCTGGATACCATGGCCATGGACAGCGATGGGGAGAGAGAGGACGATGACGAGGAGGAGGGACAGAAAAGTCTCTTCCAGTCCACCCAGCAGCAGACCTACAGCTGCACAGCATATCCTGAAGACGAGACAGACGGCCCCAGGCTGAAGGTCCCCTGTCCAAGAGCCAGGGTCACTAGCATGGTAAAAAGCAGCAGTGACACATTGTACATATTATTGTCCGCAAATCTCATCTCAAGACCAAAACTTACTGGTTTCCCCCTAAGACATACATCCTTTAAAACAGGTCAGGCATATATATTTCATATTTCATATCATTAATAAAAGGGTTAGATATATATTGATTATTAAACATGAATTAATTGTGCATTTGTTGGGGACTACTTTCACCCATGGATTAATACACATTTGATACTCTAGTGACTATTTACACTGTCTGCTGTGTGTTGGATTGAGTCAAAATAAACTACAGTGTGTGTGTTCATGGTAATGAAGGAACATGTCACCCAATCCAACAGTGGGGCTTATTTATGGCTGTGTCAAATATATGGTCCACTAAATAGTGACTTCATCATTTTGTAACACTGTCTGAATGTATAGTAATAATTATTATACCCTATATAGAGGACTCAAAGTATTCCACAATGCACTATAATGGTAGTGTACAACCCATGGTCACTAACCAAGCACTATATCCCATCATGCATTGCGCTGAAGGAACGGAGGGGCCATATGGGTGGACACAGAGACCGATGAGAGGAGATAAATCAGCTCAAGTGCAACCTGTCATACATGTTTAACTTTCAACGACATGTTGAAGTTTGTTTTACTAGTTTCCTAGCCATGTAGTAAATTGTTAATTTAATGTGTAGCTGTCAGTCTGTGGGGAGATTAAAATATATCAGCCATTGATATTTCTCTAGAACTTAATGTTGCTGTAGGCCACAGAAGTGGGCTAATAATGCTAGCTAATGTTAGCAAGGAGGGTTGCTGCTACCCAGGTTTTGTGCCATACTAGCGTAATGCATAGGGTTACAAATTATATTCACAAGATATTACATTACTAATTGGTAAAACAAATTTCAACATATCAAATATGAATGAAAAATACTTATTTGTATTATTATTATTATTATTATTATGGGAAAAATACCTGAATATAATATCATGTATTTATCACAAATATGCATGTCAGTATTTGTTATGAGTGGTCGACCAGCCAGTGTTGACATGGCATGTTTTCATTGTGCAACAGCAATGGCGTAATTACCGGCGCCAAGAAAATGACGCGAGTAGTGTCTGAAAGAGTTTTTTTCATGTTGCAGATGAGCTCACTGTGTAGTCATCTACACTGAACTCCTTTCAGACTCAGCCAATGCGTTTTAGTGTTTTTTGGCAACAGCTGAGCTTTAATAAGATATATCAGGCTTTTACTACACAGATAAAACATTCTAATTCATTGTTGTTGGTCTTTTCTTGTTATTTGTTGACAATAAAAAAAATAGGACATCACATGACTTATCCAACAGTAGTTTGGTCAGATGCCCTATGCTTCAATGATGAATGATGAATGATACTTGGCCATAGTATCATACCGAGAGTAAAGGAGGAAGTCAGATGACATAATATAAAGAGTGACAAAGTCCACATATGGAGGAGGCTGGGGTGGTTTGACAACAGTTTCTCATCCAAGGCTGTCAAATACAGAAAAATTGTCATGCCCCCTCTGTGACTGACATTGACGTCAAGGCCCCAGAGCTGAAACACATTGTGACATGTGGTTAATGTTGTGAAACGGTTGCAGTTAGGTTAAGGCAACAAAAATACTTGGTTAGGTTTGGCACAAAGATCATGTTTTGGATTAAAATAAGTACGTAACATGACGAAAATTCATCACGAGTGGCGTCAGTGTTTCCTGCATAAATTGCATAACTTTAGGTTAAAACAACACTTACTTTTGTTAAGTTAAAGTTGTTTGAGCCATCCACCTCCCCTCCTGCTCTCCCTACACAGACATGCTCGCTTTCAATACTACACCAGTTGCTCACAGATTTAACTGTTGCCATGGATGGGTTTTCACTGGATTCAGCTGAGGGGCTCTTTCATCTCATAAAGATGCTGAAGGCTGTCTACGGCGTCAATATAAAACGCAGAGGGACAAAACAAGGCAGCAGTATCTGACACCCCGAGAACAGGCAGAGACGGATGGGTCAAACAAACACAGGACTTTATCCCGGGGAGAGCACTGCTCATGTTCTGTGTGAAACCAAAGGTCAAAGCTGACTTACTTTAACTTACACATGTTTATTTATGTAATGTACTTGAGCGTTGCCTTCCGTTACAATGCATTACGTCAGTTAAGTAGTTTTGGTGCCTTAACCTAACCGGACCTTTATTTTGAAAAGACACTGGACTAATTTAATGAGCGGATACTAACACAAGCAAAACTGACACTAGAAAGGTACTTAGAGCGTCATAGTTTAAACCATAGGGCCACTGACCAAGCTGCCGTATTTGATGAGCTAGGATTGAGATCATGTTAATAAGGAAAAAGGCTGATGGTTTAATAGTTGGCCACAACTTGGATATTTGAAGCTAAATAACAAATCACTGAGTCTTTAAATATGCATCATTTGCAGTATTGTGACAAACTGCAAGAAAAAACTAAATAAAAAAAATAAAACTATCAGACTAAAGTGACCAAAAACAACTAAATACAAATTCCCCGCTGTTAAAGGTTATTATCAATTACTTAATTATATCATGATAAGTATTTAAGCTGTATGTTTAAGAGAGAAAGTACAACAGATAGAATGTGCACGTGATGTACATGTGTGTTTATTCCTCATTGCTTTCAGGCTGCTGGTGGGCTTGGCAGGCCTCTGTACTCCCGCTCAGAGATCCTCGCCACAGACGAATGTTCCCGTGCTGCTCACATTTCTCGTGTTGTGCAGACATCCAAACAGGCTGCGAGGGCAGCAGGAGGTGGGGCTGAGTGTTTGTACATGTAGAGTACATGTTAGCTGATGTGTTTTACACTCGGCAGGCAGCTGTTTTCATCCTATTTGCCCTTTCTCCTCTGCAGCAGAGGAGTTCGACCCAGAAGAAAACTTACACTCTACTGAAGGACACATGTAAGTCTACAAATTAATTACATCAGCAGCTTGAGTTGGCTACACACCACTTTGTGCCTCCCAGTGTGTGGTGGAATATCTATTTCTTTCCCGCAGGATGCTTCAGTCTGACTGGCAGCTCATGTTTAATGATGCTTGAAAGAAAGAAAATAAAGATACTCCTCTGGTTTGATTCACAGGTGGAACTGTTGATCATTTGTGTCCTGTAAATTATACCTGCAGCTTTTGAATGGTTTAGTGCTTTAGTTCACGTACTGCTGTAAATTACTATAGTCTGGTACAGTTGTCTAACTCCCACACAACAGGGGGGCTTCCCTCATCCCCTCCTGACATTTCTGCTCCATGTCATATGTCTGCAACCTCCTCCTCCCACAGTCCTCTCTCCCAGCTCCTTAGATGGCCCATCAGTGTGTGTGTGTGTGTGTGTGTGTGTGTGTGTGTACGTGCATGTGTAGTATATGTGTGCTCTGGCGATTGTGTGGATGTAGCAGACAAGGGAGGATTCTTCACTAAATCACAGTTTGACACCCAGTTCCAGCAGTCCTCTCCTCTCCTCTCCTCTCCTCTCCTCTCCTCTCCTCTCCTCTCCTCCTCTCCTCCACTCAGCCTCAGTGTCTTGTTTGTCTTAGGCTGATGGTACAGAAAGTTCTCCAGGAGCTAAAGCTGTACCATGGGTAAGTAAACAGGAGAGGAAGGTCTGCTTGCTCAAACTCTCGTCCCAGTCTTCCGAGCAGCAGCAGAGCCTGATTGTGTGACCAGGGGGGAGCAATGCACTGAGTGTTTACATGTCTGTGCATGAATGCTTTTGGCATGTGTGTTTGCATGTGCCTGTTTGGGCACTGACACAGTATGCCATCATCTCTGGAAAGGGTCTGTGGAGCACTACAGGGTTTATTTTACTTTATTATCTCACAAAATCCTCAGTTGACATTGAGCTCACCTGACAATGAAACCCAACTGACTGAGTGAAACACATCTCTTAGAAGTGCACTGCTGGCTTTACCATGTTGTGCTCTAGGGCTGTCTATTCAGCTGCACTGCTTTAAAGGTCTCCTATGGTTATTTTGAAACTAACTCTCTCCACTCTGAAACCATCTCATTGTCCTCCACAGAGCGAAGCAGAGGAACAACCGATCAGACTCGAAAGTTTCAGAAAATGTCACTTGGTACGAGTTCCTCTCTAACGAGTAAGTACTGCCCTTATCACAAAAGCTGTACACATTTTCAATTTTATGGAAGTTTTGGATGCAAATAAAACATTTTGCATGTAATTATGTGCTCAATTGGTTGCTATGTGCCATGTGTATTTGCACTGAGATGTTTTATCGGCCATTTATACCAAGATATGGTCAAAACCAAAAAGGTGTCTGTACTTTCAAAGGTGCTTTTGGTTTCTTTTCATGGAAAAAATCCAATTTAATTTCTCATCACAACAACTGTAACTATTCAAGAAAATCACTTGTTTCACATATTGAATTTCAGATGCACTGATTACCTCTGCCAAGGAGGTTATGTTTTCGCCGGCGTTTGTCTGTTTGTCTGCAAAATAACTTGAAAAGTTCTGAACGGATTTTGATGAAATTTTCAGGAAGGGTTGATAATGGGACAAGGCACAGGTGATAAAATTTTGGTGGTGATCGGTTGAAGCGAAGTGGATAAAATAATAAAATGGCAGGAAATCCGAGCTGCTTGGCGGAGGTCTGCGCTCTCCGAGTGCTCTAGTTTCTACATTGTCAACCACAAAACACTGTAATAGTTATGATATCACGAGACAAACACTGTGCTATATTGACTTAAGCTTTTAAATGTCCAGTGTGTAGGGTTAAGGGGCATCTATTGGCAGAAATGGTATATGACATTTATATGTTTCATTGATTTATAATTACCTGAAAATATGAATTGCTTTGCTTTCGTTACCTTAAGATGAGCCGTCACCTACATTCAGAGTGGGTCCTCTCCCACGGAGTCCGCCATGTTGTTTTACAGTAGCACAGAATGGACAAATCAAACACTTGATCTAGGGCTATTCACTTTTTTCATGTTTTTTGTGTCAGCAACCGTAGTTCTGAGAAGTCTGAGAAGTTTTAGCTCTGCAACCTCACCACTAGATGCTACTAAATCCTACACACTGGACCTTTAATACTCAATAAATACTAATGATTATTAAATGTGAGTTTCAAAAGATTTCATTCTCTGCTCCTTTGACCAGGAATGAAGAAGAAGACGATCGTGCGGAGAAGGTTGAGAAAGGCACCAAGGTGAAGAGGACTCTCAGCTCTCTGAGGAACAGGGTGACTGGCTCCTTCAATAAAGATAAGGTAAACCTATACCACAGATGCATGGCACACAATGTCACTGTGAGCTCACAGTGTAATATATCACACTGCCTGAACTGCAATGAAATATATGACCTCATTTGCATTAAAAAGCCTTTAAGAGCTAAGAATTATGTGTGGAAGAAAAGACCAAATCCTGAGGTGTAAACAGTTCCTTGGTGCGCATACTGCTGCACACACAAGTCACTAATCCACTTACACAAACCCTGCTATATATCCTGCCTCTGACACGGTTATGAGATGTCATACTCAATATGTGTGCGCTATGTGCCACAGTGAAAAGAGAACACACAAATTTGCATGTAAAGACTTCCCTCTGTTTGCTTTCTTGTTCCTCTGCAGGGTAAGAACCGAGAAAAAGAGCAGCAGAAAGAGAGGGGGAAGGAGAAGGAGCGGGAGGCCAAAGAGAAAGAGAAAGTGTGCAGTAGCAGCAGCAGCAGCAGAGGCAGTAGCAACGGGCATTATTTGATGCCAGGCGCTTTCTCCAAGAATGCCACCTGCTCACTGTGCAGCAAGACCCTGCAGAGAAAGCATGGCCTGCAGTGCATGAGTGAGTAACACCACAACCACAGGTGTACACGCACCCACACCTGCTCTCAGCCTGACACACACGTGCACAGGTGCTCCGCTCACACAAACTGCCGCCTATTTATGTTCACGCTACTGCACGCATGCTCACTCACCCACTTGTTGGAGCACTCAAGCACACGGGCAAACAAACAGAGCCACCCACACACACACATACAATCGCACACACCCAACCAGAAACTGTAACATTTCATAAAACATTCATGAATTACTCAGAAAAACAGAAGTACTCTTTTTAGGTGTAACTATTTCTAGCTTTGTGTTATTTTAACACACTTGTTGACACCTTCATGTGAACTACAGAGGTAAAAATACACACAAACTAGCAGGTTTTCACTTTCTATTCACAACTATGCCATAACCCAGGGGGTGATAACGCATACCATTCATCATTGTGGCTTTTCTTATGCATGCTTCTGCTGAAGCGAAGGTGACTTTCATGTTTAGTTCCTCTTCAAACAGCATTTACCCACCTAAAGTATTTCACACTAAAACACACTTGGATATTCTGCAATCCTCTCTGCACTTTTTCACACTGCATCATGACTGCGGGTCCTCGTGTTGCACAACTTGGCTCACTTGTTTAGATTGGTAATCTGATGTATTAGCACCATCGGCTGACAGTTGTTTATGTGAATCTGCAGCACGCCCTAACTTTGTTGCTCTGGCTTGAAATATTATTCACATTCGCTGCATCTTTTGTCTGTAGGGTTGCTTTGTCTGCGTCAACCACAGCTTTGTGCGTTCATTCATGGAGGAGACCTGCACAGGACATTTCAGCACCTCGCTGCTCCTTTCTTCTGTCTCGCTTATGCCACTCCTATGCAGCCTGCAGGTCAGCTGATAAACGTGCAATAACTAGTGAAAGACATGTAAGAGTGTTTGTGAGAAGAGTACAGAGGAAAAACTCTGACTGTGATACGGTGAAACAGCAGGAGTAAAACCTTTTTATTATAAGCTATGTTTGGAAAAGTAGGCCACTTATCAATGGAATAATCAAAAGAGGTTAAAGTGTGGGGTAAAATTAGGCAGAAATTGATTACTGTGTATATATGCTGCGTCTTACCACAGCCTTTAGTAGTAGATCCATCATATAAAGTTGTGTTATAGTGCAGTTAAAGTTAAAGTTTAGTTAAATTAAAAATACTCTATTACAAGTAAAAGCCCTGCCTTCAAAGTTCTACTGAAGTAAAAACAAATGTACTTGTATAAATATCAAAAGTTAAAGTAGTCATTATGCAGAAATACACTATATCAGGTGTTAAATGTATCATATATTTTATCAAATACATGATTTAGAAATTATTACTGATGCATTAATGTGTGGCAGCATTTTAGTGTTGTAGAGAGCTCATTTTAGCTTCTTTATATACAGTCAGATTAGTTAGTTTATTCTCTAACAACACATAATATTCTAGAAAACGGATTAGCTATTTTATATGTGAAATAAGTAGAAACTGTAGCTGCAATTGTTGCCTCTAAAAATAAATATTTGGTGAAGTACCTTTAAAGGTAACCATCGGCCCATTTGAGTGTCGGCTGCCTCGGCTGCGTTCCGGCTCCATGGTGCCAAATGTGAGCCAGCGTTGGCCCGTTTACTTTTGCCAGATCTGGCCCAGATTTATTTTTAGACATACATGGGCCTTTTCTGACTGAGACACGGCAGGTGGGCGAAACAGCAGCCAGCACCAAAACGTTTTCTGGCCCGTTGACGGTCACCAGATCTGGGTCGGGCGTTGTAGGCGTCCTGGCTGAGACACAGCTGCTAGAATCAGCCTACTTTATTTGGCCCGATTCTGGGGCGGCCTGACTTACTTCTTTTCGCATGCTGAGTTTGGGCTGATGCTGGGCTGGGTCATTTTGGCTGCCTGGGATTTCTCCTTACTTTATCTAATTCTCAGAAGAAATATATATATATATATATTTTTAAAAAAAGTTACTTTTCCCTTTTTAAATATTAAAATTAGAATTACAGTGTCATCCTTGTGGTGTGATTAAACTGCATAGTTTAAGTCAGACTTTCTCTATTGATCTTCCATCATCCCCATAAAAGGGCATACATGTTATTTAAAAAGTGGTACCATTATAGTGCCATGGGGTATTTCCTTATGACACACATCTATCATTTCCAAAGCATTGTGGTCTGTTGGTGGGAAATTTCACATCACCAAATAAAGTTTCAAACACAGAACAAAGAAACAAAACTATTCCCCAAATTAGTACCATTTCATTTTCTCTGAACTGGACTATTCCCAGCAGCTTCCTCGCTTCACTTCTGTGAGGAGACAGAGGCCATAATATATCCAGGACATTTATAAATCCTGCAGCCTGGTAGCAGGGGATGTAACGTATGATTGTTTGTAATAGTGTGCTTATTAAACAAAGTTGTTCTGGCATATTTCACAAGGCACAGGGCACCACACATCCAGCGGGAATCAGCCTGCACTGCTTCTCTGTAACACTAACCAGAAGCCAATAACACATCTATCTCTCCGGCTTTCCCCCTGAGACAATCTCCCATTCAACAAGTATGGCTGCTGCTGAGAGTGATGAAGTTACAAATCCTACATTTTGACACTTGTCCTGTTGGTGAGGTTACACACAGGCACGGGCGTGAGAAAACAAGCGAGTGTCCCTTTAATTTGAACCAAGCCCTGTGGGGATTCAGCCGAGAATCAGCCTGAGGAATGCGTCGTGTGTATGCCAGAGATTGTTCCCAGTGAGAGTAGGACACAAAACTGGACACAACCAAGAATGTGGGATACTTTTTGCCATTGACCCCAATGGCAGAAGTGATTTATCTATCTCACGGGCAGACTACATTTCCTTTCGGATGCAGCTGAGTCAGATAAACCAGGGTGTTGTTGAAACGGTAAGAGGCAGCCACTGTAGCGATGGTCCGTAGCGGGATCAGGTGGATAACTCCCGTTGTTTCGCTCAATGGACTTTTCGGGCATCCTGGCCGCTAGCTAAGAAGCTATATGCTAACCATAGCCAAACTACCGCTTTTTAAATGTTTCCTCGGACGGCTTGTTGTCATGTCAGGTTTGAGCCACTGTTTTAATACGTGACACCCACTTCTAAAGTTTCTTCGATATTAAATGTATCAGAAACTGTCCCAAATTAAATCCCAGTCACTCTTAACGTATAGCTAGCTAACGGTTAGCCACTTCATGCTAGCGCGTTAGCCGCGTCTATTTGAAAAACAAGGTTAGTCGGATGAGCAGTTAGCTTTAATTAGCTTAAAGTGATAACAACAATACACCACATCGACTCTGCTTGTCTTCGTTTTTAAAGGTTGCACAACTTCACTTCAGTTTCACTTTATGTGCCTCTTTTAGGAGTTTGGTTGCAGACTTTGCCTGGAGCTCAACAGGTGATTGCTAGCTAACGTTAGCCTCTAAGATAATTTCTGTTATTCACCCGCAGTCAGCTGCAATAATGTAGTAGCTTAGTCAGATGATGCCTGTAACGTTGGTGTGAAGGGAGGATTTATAAAGGTTAGTACAAGTTGCATTACAGTTGGATCGTGATCTGTCGTGTGCAGTCGAGGCTGTGTGTAACTGTTGTGTTTATTCTTATGCTCCCACCCCGCTATAGTTGGCTCAGCTCAGTAGGCAGCTAACTGGCTCGCTGTTATGAAACTCCATAATCCTCGATGTGTTAAATGATGTTGTTCTTCAGTGTCAAATTCTTGCCTTTCTTACTCTTCTACCACTCTGTTCAGACTGGGCTTTCTCTCTGACTGGGTCACATGGTGCTAATTGTGCTTGGCAGGTCTGCCGGTGCATAACAGCCCACTCCACTGACTCTGGGTCTCACCCATCTCACCCTGTTAGCACACCACTTCTCCATGCATCATTGCTTTGCCCTCCAGCATGCCTGACTCTCTCTGTATGCCTTTTACTAGATTTAAAGTCCGACTGCCTCCATGTTTCCTCTGAGTGGCCCTCAGTAGATTTTTCACCTCCAAGCTGTTGTTATCATCACGTCTCATGGTATCTCTTTGCCTGATTAGTCAGACGATAGGCAGGGATGAGTGAAATGAGTAAAATAATTGATCTTATTCTATGTGTGACTCTCACATGAAAGTACACAGCATTTATTTAGATCAAGATATGCTTCTTTCTTGGCTTTCCCCAAGCTTCATTTTCTGATATCATCTGTATGCAACTGGTGTGTAATGGTGATCATGACTCTCCAGTTTGGGCCAGAAATGTGACCGGTGGTGGTGTTTCGCTTCACTGAGTAAACAGCTCCCTGAGTCTCAGTTCCTCCTGTTTCACTAGATGATGTCATGGGTTGGCTGGCTGCTTCAGAGTTTGCCCCAAGTGTTGGTGTTTTTGTCTCTATTGTCACCGGGAATTAAAAGTAACCTCTCACACATACAGGAAGCAGGTAGCTGTGTAAAAAAAAAAAAAAAAAAAAAGTAATGCCTCCAAAACAGCTGCTGTGACCTCTTTTTCCTTTAGGTTGGTATATATATAACCACATGTGGTCACAGGGTTTTTCTATGAACTGCATATGCAAGTATGACAGGGGGCACATGTGGTTTTTCAACATGAGTTTATACTCAGCCAAGAATAGTGGAGGAAACCACAGGAAATTATAACCTAACCTACTTCATTTCAGATAGTAGCACTACACCATCTAAAGTTACATTGTGAAAGATTAATACATTTGGCTTAGTTAACAAGAAGAGGGTACAAGCTGTTTAACACTCCTCGCACATTTGAGTGAACTCTGCTGGCATATGTGAATAGTGGACCACTGCTTTACCTAAATTCGTATGCTTTAGCTCATAGAAAACACTGCGCACTTGTACTGCATGATTTGAAACCGTTAAGAATGAGGCAGTGTTGTTGCCACAGAACTTTAAAGGACAACTCTCCATTGTTTTGTATGACAGGTGTTTGAGCAATTTTTGAAGAATGCTACAAAACAAAAATCTGAAAACCAGAACTGAAAGTATAACAATAAAGCCCTATGGATTTCATTAAATTAATAATCATTAGGTTACGGTCATCCTTTTGGGGCTGAGCAATATATTGAAATCATATTGTGATACCAGACTAGATATCATCTTAGATTTTGGTTGCTGTAGTACCGTAAGTGCTGCCTTTTCCTGGTTTAAAAAACTGCATTACAGTAAAGTGATGTAACTTCCTTAACTTACCACACTCTTCTACAGTAGCTGTAATGGTATTTGCCTTTACCCTCTTCGTCATTTTATCCACATTACTAATGATTATTCTTCAACAATTTCATTGTATAAATACGTTGTTAAAGTACCAATAGTCAACCCAACAATATCTTCACAATATCAATATCAGTATGGAGGTATTTGGTCAAAAATATTGTGATATGTGATGTTCTCAAGCCACAATACTGGTATACATAAGTCTTAGGTAATGTTAGAAAGCTTACAGAACAATTTATCTTTTAAACTTCAATTCGACACACCCTGTCTTAAATCCGCCTGTGTTTGAAGGCAAGTGTCCTGTTGTATGAGTTAATGTTTCCCTGGAAGAACCCACCCTTCGCTATCAGGAGCTCTCCCGATTCCAGTTTCTTTTTCCCATAGACAACACGAGGCAGCACATTCTCTCTTTGCAGAAGGAGTCGTAGCACAGGTGATTTTTTTTTTAACTTGATTTGATATTCTCTGTTGGTTTGTTGGTTAACTTCTATTTTAGCTGCCCAGCACAGGCCAAAGAAAATGCTGATCATCTGTCATTCTGCAGAACTTAGTGGTGATCTAGGCCTCGTTTGCATTTCTGGTACATTGAGTGAGTCACTGATCTGTGTGCTGTTGTACACCACAAGTGTGCTTCTTGTGTGATAGGGTAGTTCCCAGTCAGCAGATGGGTGTGGTGGTGGTGGTGGTTTTGATGGAGGGGCTGAGAGTCCCGTGGATCAGCTGCAAAACCAGCTGGTCGACACTATGCCCACCACATCCACCTGATGATATTTACCACAAAGCAGTATACTGGCCTGATGTCTAAGCTGTGTATACTTTGGTCTGTCGGTAATGACAGATTTTCTAGTGCAGCTTTGGTATATTGGCATTGTGCTATTACTAACTGTTGAGGTGGTCTAGCTGCAACGACTCATCGCTGATAAGCTCTGTGATATCAGTAAACAGAAAACACACTGTTCTTGCTTATCTTAGGATGTTTTCGTTTTTACTTCAATTAAGCAGAAATTCCTCTGAAAGCAGTTTGAGTTTAATCATCTCTACGACACATTCCTAACCAGAAATAGCTTACTTTGGGGTTCCTCAGTGATGACTACTAGTGATGTTGTAGCAATGACATGGCTTTATATTCAGTCTATCGTAAATCTCTTATCTTTACCTGTTCTTAGCAATCCTTTTCCCAGCCTCGCTCAGTCAGTATGTTTGGGCTTTGTTGAAGATGTACTACCGTCTTGATAGACTTAACTTCGAAGCTTGCTTGTGCTTTTTGTCTGAAAGTGCCAGGCTGGCAGAGAGACTGGAATTTTGCATATTAGTCGGAGAGAGGTGGAAAATTATCTCTGGGTCTGGCTGCTCGACTGCTGATAAGTTTGTTGGCTTACTGACTTCTGTGCCTGAATCCTCAGTCTAAAGGTAATAAACCAAAACTTTAAAACTGAGCAAAATCTGATGACGACTATCTGATTTGAAGCAGTCACTTCTGAAAAGGTGTTGTTTGTGTCAGATGTTTCGTGCTTTTGGGCAAAGTATGTGTGCCTACATTGGGATTCAGTGGACTCGCTCTGGTCCAACTTAAAGTGTAGCAGTCCAGTGTAGTTGGAGCCGAGTCAAAGAGGGACACAGCACTACTGGTGAAGATTATTCAGAAGCCAGTTTCTGTTTTCTTTTCCTTCAGCTCAGCCAGCAATTGTTCATTTATTAGCAGAGAGAGGGAGACAGAGGGGGGCAGGCCAGAGATTATGAATGAAGTAAAGTAATAAAAGTAAAAGTGGTTCGGGCTGGATCTAAGGGTAAGATAGAAGATAGATGACACTAAACAACTCACATGTATATGAACCTATTCTTTATTCCTACTCACTTCACTCACATACAGAAATAATCGCTGCATGCCTTTACTGCACAGGAAGAAGGGTTTTTGTCATTGTCTCCATTGTGCCAGCACACAGACTGGGAATAAGCAACAGAGGCCTTTACAGTAGGCTTTACAGCAGTTAGTGGAAGTTGCTGGTATAGGTCATGTTTAAACTGTGTTGTTCACAGGAGTGCCACCTTTGTCAACAAGCTATGCAGCCATATTCAAACAATCACCATACTGACCTGTGCCCCATGTAATGTGGAAAATGTAAAGGGGGCAGTGTTGGGGGGAAAGATGATTTTAAAGCTGTCACGTTCATCTTGTTACTTGCCATAAACTAAAGCTTCCATGATGGTGCAGTGTCAGCCAAGTGTCTGTAAATGTTGGTGTCCCTACTTGCCCTGCTCTAATACGAAATCTTATATATGTGCAGGCTCTCCGTCTCAGAAAATGGTATTATCCAGGCCTTGGCCAACCCTGAGCTGAGCTCAGTGAATTTTTTATTGAGATTGTGGGGCCACTGGCTCTTTAGTTTGTTTGTGGGTACAGTTATTGAATTATGTCTTTAGTATATGAGCTTGCATAATGTAGTGTTGGGTATTTCTTGTCTTTTTTATAGATATTGTACATATTTTTGTACATAGACGATTTTCTTTTTTTGTGTGGTACGCTATGGACCTTTCTCTGTGTCCTTAATAGTCATTATTATTTATTATTGATAGCTACTGAAAAAGTTTGAGTTAGTTAGTTTGAAATGAAAATAATGACAACATTAAGACCCTTGTTGTCATAAAAATCTGAGCACTAAAACACAGGTTAATGACAAACAAACAAGTCTTTTTTTTAAATCTGAGATTCCACAATACTGTCGTAAAGACGATCTGCCATTATGCCGACTTTTCTTTTTTACACTGGACCAAATAACTTTGGCATGATGCTGCCCCAAAAGCGTGCAATTATAGATAGCTTGCTACAGGAAGCAAAAGAGGTGTGACATGTAACACAACAGTGTCAGCATCAAGTTTCATTTTACACACAGCGAATCAGCTATTTAACTACCTCAGCTACCTGCTCAATGGCGGAACAACAGCCTGTCTCTTGATTGTTTTGTGGTTCTGATTTCAGACTTCATGGTGTTTTCCAGTATTGAGTGACCCACTTCAGCAGAGGACTGCTTTTTGCTAATAGCTGCATTAGATCAGGCTGTTAAACCACCAACCCTGTTTCTACCGATCAGCCTCTATGCAGAGAAGCGGCTCTCGTTTTAGTGTGTTTATGTATTTCTCCACATGTGTACATCTGAATCTGTTTTGCATTGAAGGCCATGTGCTTCTTGCCCACGTCAGTCTGGTTTTACCTGGCTGGGTTGGGGCCAGACTTTGCATAGTGATACCTTCATTTGTTTTGCCAGCCTAGTCCCTCAGGACAGGGCTCTGTTGCTTGTCTTATGCAGTATGTACTAGGCAGGCTTAAAGATTGAATCGCTTTGTTTTACAAGTGTTTTGTCTTTCCAGTAATTAAATAGAGCATGGACGGGTGCTCGCAGTATGTTTTTCCAAAACAACTTTGATTTGTATCTGTGTTAATCAGCAGAGATACAGTCAGTCATGTCATCTAAACCTGACAGCAGTAGCTTTGTTTTCCATACAGGGAGAAAAGTGGACAAAAAGAGAAAGCCATTACTGAGATAAAGAAGTTCCTGACCTGCCACAGTGTGGCTCTTGTACGTGTAAATCAACACAAGCAATTGCTGCACCAAGTCTCATGGAGCCAGAAGTGATACATTGACTTGATGACAATACTTGTTTGAAAACAAATACTCGACTTTGTGATTGTTGATAGCGGCAGCTGGAAAAGCTACGCCTCCGGGCTTTTTGTCTCAGCACCTTTGCAGTGCTTTTGTTTGAGTCACGGCCTTTTACTTTGAACACTGCCCTCAGGGAGCTGTCGGATTGGTTTTGAAATTTCAAACTTTGTTTACTGTTTCATTTTTCTCATCCATATTGAAGCCAGAAGCCACCGCTGGTGCCTCTGTGTACTGTATACTCTGTACCTAATGCAGCTCTGACTCTGTGTTCCTGTCCTTCTTTTTTTCAGATTGTGCTGTGAACGTTCACAAGAGCTGCAAGTCTCTGCTGGGTGACTGCAGCAGCAACAAGAATAAGGTAAACACTACACTGGAGCATAGGAAAACATGGGCTTAAGTCAACCATAGTTCCTTGACTTCCACTTTGTTGCATATAGGCTAGATATATTGGTATACACGTGTACATGGTCAGACATTGGATCAGTAGCACAGACAATGAATTTCAGAGTTGTTGTAGCACCACTGTGACACTAAATGCATGCTAATAATGAGACAAAATTACAGTATACATGATTATGCTGCATTGCAAAACCCAAATTTGTCTTAGCACTACTAAAAAAGAGATCTCCAAGCTTCTTGTTTTCACCATCAACAAACACTCCCTGCACCTACAAGTACATATCTTGCTTTCTCCATGCAGCCTATGCTTCATGCCCTGTAGTTACATTTAGAGGTGGTGCATATTAGTTATAGATGAGGAGCCCTCTGTGCAGCAACAAAGCCTCCGCAGCTGCAGCTCCTCAACAGAGAGGCATAAATCCACTGTTGGCAGGAAGAGTTGTGCGCTCATTCGGTACAGGGCATTTAAGACAACTCGACTGAAGATTACACGCCTCTGTCCGCTCTCATGAGCCTGCCTGAGATGGACTTTGCTTGTTAAGGCCATGTGAGCGGTCTCGTCCTGTAAAGAAAATACAGTAAGAGGGTGCAATTTTTAGGCATTTTGTAAGCTGTCACTCAGCTGATAAAAGCTCGTGAAAATGGCCTTGAAAAACAATCTTTATTTTCTCCACACAGAGAGATTCTCAACCAAGGACCGGCCCGTCAGGATCTCCTAATCTTGGTAAGCAGAAACGTGTATGTGCAGATGGACCCCTTGGGAATCCCACTGACCACAGTATCAATTGAAGAAGGAGGGGGGTGGGAAGATGGTTTAGTCCCTGTGTGTCAAATTAAAAAAACTGGCTGCCTCTCTGGTGGTTTGCAGAGGATTAAACAGATGAACTCTTGTGACTTCTGAAGATGATATTGACCTGTTCTTTCTCCTGCGTGTGTGTGTGTCTTTATGGGTCTGGGTCTTTGTGGTGTATGTATGTCTGCCTACACACTGAGCATAGAAGGGGAAATTGGCCTCCAACAGACTGGAGGCAAAGGTGATGATTAGCGCAAACAGTCAGGGGATTGACCTCTGGTTCAATTCTTGTTGAACCAAGTGAAACCCTTGATAGATTTAGTAATATTGCACCATTACTGCGCCACACAATATTTATATGCATTAGTCAAATTTGTATCAGGACACAATGAGAAACAAAAGGAAGCAAATCAAACATAAGATTATTTCTAAAGGATGTCACATTCTTCCTTACATAATCTTTCTACTTTATACAAGATTAGATTAAAGGTCATTTGACTTGTTAAATTGATTAGCCTCAAAATGAAATATGCAGTGTACTAATATTTATTATCACCAAGTGGTCCATCCCAGGGAAATTTCAATCAGTGCTAATTGTAACTTTAAGCAGGTCCCCGTGCATGTGACTGAACCCGCAGGAGACCTGAGCGGCAGCAGCAGCAGCTTTAGTTAATCTCCTGTAGCAGTTGTTATTCTCCACTGAACAGCTGGAGTCCTTTCAGCCACACCTGATTTCTCTTCATGTCCTGCTCAATCAGTGGCTCATGCAGGGGGTCGTGAGGACGAGGAGAGGCAGTGAGGAAAGTGGACTATCATGAGGTGTGAGAAAAATAAAGGGGTGTGCACCTTTCTGGAAGTTGCTAGAAGAGATCGGACACATATATAAAGCAGGCTTCTTTTGCTTCTCCCGATTTACACCCATGACAGCCATTACTTAGTTACCATTGCTATAATACCTAGTGATACTGTGACGGCAACCATTGAACGTTACCTTGGAGTTCGGATTATTACAAAGCTCCCTCTACTGCTCCTCCTAATTTGACACATCCACAATGAAGCTAGCGATTACTAAAGGCACCACTGAAACCACGGGAGCCACCAAAGGTTGCTCCAGGACTGTAAAGCCGTCCTCGTCTTCTTCCCCATCTTCCTCCGCCTCATCATGGGGTCTGTCCGGACATGTGGGCGTTCGAGTGTTGATGCACCGCGACCTGATCACTTGCCGATTCTTCCGATCCCTGCCTCGATCTTGGCTGAAAAAATACTGGGGTCGGCTTGGGCAGGGATCCAACAAGCACCCGCCCGCCTCTTCTTCGTCCTCTTCTTCTCTCCGCTGGTCATCCTCTGCTTTCTCTCTCTCCTCTCCCCGTTTCTCCCCACCTTCCTCCGACATGTCCTCTCATTGCCCCTGTTTACCTCTCTCTCGTCTTTCCTCCCCAGCGCTAAAGGACTGGGACAGAGAGCGGGAGCATTCGGGCCCAGCCTCATCACAGGCCCTGGATGGCCACCCAGGTTTGCTCAGCACCCCAGGCATGACCATTAGTGCGTGGGGACCTAGCACTCAGCCGACTGCTGCTCATAGCACCAGCTCCACCGCAGCCTCTAGCTTTGGCCAGAGCCTCCGTCACGACAACAGCTCAGGGTGAGTATCTCCGCCTTGGAAGTTAGACTTTTTCACTCCTCCTCTGAAGGCCTTTTTTTGTGCAGAAGAATTTCTCTTTTTCTTTGTAACTAGTTTCCTTTTTTAAAAAAGATTGCTCCTGAATGACAGGATTCCTTTTTACTTGGAGTTCAAAAACCACCACTATAATTCTGTAGATGTTTACAGGACCTGCTGTATGTTAATGCTGGATATTTTTAGATTCTTTGATGCTGAAATACTATTTTCTCTATGCCATCGTAAGATGCGTATTTATAGTTGACATATCAAGGCAAGCTGTCTCTTCTAATATAACAGCCTTGTGAAACTGAGTCTAGACGAATCTCAGAAGTGGACTACTTTAAGGCTGCATCACTAAGAAAAATGTGTAACGAGATGGGAAGACGGTAGCAGAGAGGGAGAGACAGAGGCATAGGGAAGGTGTAAATAAGAGGAGAAGATGGGGAGACATAGATTGACGACAATAAGTAAGAAAGAAAAATGTAGCTGCCTGGGTTTCTGATTTGTGACAAATTGAATGTCAGTGTTACTGTGGACCTGTAAATGCACACGTTGACTGTTAAGTTTATTGAGGCTGCCACCAGTTACAGGGATTAAGTTTGACTCAGCATGTATGCCACTTTGGACCTGTGGTTGTCGTCCCTCAGATCCCTCCCCGGGGAAATGGACGAGACAGATGCTCTCCGCTCCAAACGCTGCAACGAAGACGCCATTTCCCTCGCTCCCTCCACCACTGAGTCCATCATCGTTGAAGGTGAGTTTCACACTTGGTTGAAAGTGTTTCCTGAAGTGAAATGGTTATGGCAGTAACAGCTATATAGCAGCCTGTTCAGTCCTTCAAGACGTATAAGTTTGCCTGAGTGCAAAGTGATAGTGTATCTTCAGGGAGTTTTCTTAAATCTGAGGAGGAGAAAGTGTGGAGTGTGTTTTGAGGAGTCAGGGGTGACCTCACCCTGTCTCATTAAGTTGTAGTGTGTGGGAGAGAGGGACAGGCTAACTGGGCACCAGCCTGCCACATACACAGAGCTACTGCACCTTTTCTTTCTTTTTCCCAGCTGCCCTGTTCTAAGGTTTATTTATCATCAGAGGCACACTTACTATGAAAAAGCGACTGCACCACTTATACTCAGGAGCATGTAGATTCTTATTTTCTCTCTCTGTTGCCTTACAGAATATTACTGATCCACAATGAAAAGCATGCAGCACATTTAGGTTACTGCACTCTAAGACACTAACCTGAATTTATCATTAAAAAATCAGCTCCAAACACCTTTTTAAGGAAGTCCCTGATATTTCAAATATTATCTGTTAAACAATAGTAATGAGATAAAAGTATACAGTGCAGGGTCAGCTATAATCAGCTCCTCTTGAACTGAGTACAAGTCAACACTGTCAGTTCCCACCCTTTAAACCACAAGTTCCATGCTCTTTTGTTGGTTTAGATTAAGTAGATAATCTCCTTCCCCGTCCTTTATGAGATTTTATTTTTAGAGTGCATTGTGCTGTTGCGACTGGATAACAGTTGATCTCATACGCATGTAGTTGTGTCATAATAATGGGACGATTTTTGCCATAGTTTGGTGGGTAAAGCCTTATTATTTTAGATTTCTAAAAAGTTTAGGAATAACAAAGAAAGTGTGGACACATTGTGTCATTGATTTAAGATTCCTTGGTTTGTATTGCCTCGTCACTATCCCCATGTATCATTTTCAGCTCTGCCAAAACACAAAAAGACGAGACATTATGTCAGCAGTGAACTATTCTTAAACTTGGGTGCTTCACAATTAGAAACCAGAGACCTTTTCTAAGAGAATCATGTCTTGAATATCATTGTCCGTTATTTATGGACGATACAAAATGTGGAGAATTCTGTTAGGTCATCTGAGGACTTGAGTTACGTTGGTCCTTAAGAGAACAGAAGATATTTTCATTTGGTGTCATGGGAGTTTAGAGATGTCGAGAACGACCTTCAGCAGCACAGCCCAGACTGTATTCTCACACGGTGCGCCTCTGCTGACCTTTACCTCTTTTGTAAAGCCTTTTTGTATTATAACACTGTAATGTGTCATAGCTTTTGATGCCTCTGCTCCTCTCCTCAGATGCTCATTATGCAGCAGTGCGGGCTGATCTGGAGGCTGATGCCCAGGACCTGGAGGCAGAGTCATGGAGTTTGGCAGTCGACCAGCAGTATGTTAAGAAGCATTCTAAAGAATCGGTGAAGAGACAGGATGTGTTATATGGTGAGTGTGATTTTTTTATGTGTTTTTTATTTGTGTTTTTATTCTTGAAAGACTTGTTTCCATTTTGTAGGTATGTATCAGTATGTTAAGCCACAAGGGGGCAGGTAACATGTTGGGGATGGGTCATGTCACACAATAAAGTAATAAATACACACAGTTGTGAAGTCTCATTGACTACGTTTACATGCACAAAATATTCTGTTTTTTGTCCTTTTTCTGAAAAAGATAATATTCCTTCAAAGATGTATAAATGATAAAAAATATTTTTTTCCTGTTTTCATGCAGCCATGCATACTTGAATTAACATCCTCTAACATGTTGTTTATCGCATCAAAATATGGAAAAGTTGGACGGTCAGAGGCCTTGCATCATTTTGCTTTTTTGCAGCAAAATAGGCTTTCTTCAGAGTTTTTTACGGGTGGCGGATATGTTCAATCGTGCAAACACAGCCTCCCTCTTTCATTACTTTAACCACCTTCTTGAAGAGGTCAGAATTATGATATTTGTGCATATCTAAAAACCTGCCGATATCAAAGTCTTTCATAATGTTTAAAAGTTTTTGTTTTTTCTTTCAACCAGAAATGCGGGCTTTTCTTTTGGGCATGCATCTCCCCACTGTTTTGCAAACTGTGTGTTAGTGTACAAAGCATCCATGACAATGCACATAGCTAAATGTAAACAGACACAAGGCCGTGTGTTGCAAACATTAAAAATCCCAGTTAGCATATGCACATAATCAGCATATTCCAAATACGCTGTATACATATCCAAAGAATGCCCTTGAAACTCGACTTACACCAGCATATACAACTTGTCTTAATCATAAAAAGTCCACATTCAGAAAAGGGCCTAATACAGAATATCCAAACATAAATGCTGTTTCTATGACCCCAACAAATTAAGAATATTGTCATATTTGAAATAATGGTGAAATATTAGTGTGCATTTAAACATAGTCACTGTGTTTAGATGGGGGGAGATGTAATGGTTGTTATCGCAAAATGGTATAATATAGACCAACACAATCAAGAGACAAAAAATAATTAGATTCTAAATATTAATATAATATTATTCCCTGCATTATTCTTTTGGACAAAATCTGCCTACATTACAGTAAGCTCAATTTTTTCAAACATTTTAATGTCAAACTTGTTGTCTTCAGCCCCAGCTGGCATTGCCTCTAGTGACATCACAGTTTTTCACATTATGCGCAGGTGACTCTGGAGGCACAAAATGCTTTATACAGATTTTTTTTTTACGACTTTTACATGTAAAATCAGTGGAGGTCCCTTTAAATTGTAGGACTGTTTTAAGGAATAACTTATGCATATTTATTTATTTATTTGTTTGTTTTTTAAATACTTAATGGACATTTTGAATAGCATAAAGGAGCTGTTGTGAGTCATTCCATATCATTGCAATACATTATAGGTATATGTGCTTTATATGGCAGAACATAAACATGTAACGTTTTGTCATACAGAGCTGATGCAGACGGAGATGCACCATGTGCGGACACTGAAGATAATGCTGCGTATATACGTCCGGGAGTTGAAGGAGAACCTCCAGATGGACTCGGGGAGGCTGGACTGTCTGTTTCCCCGCTTGGAAAACCTCCTCGAGCTTCACACACATTTCCTATCTCGTCTCAAAGAGCGGCAGCGAGAAAACCTCGTCTCACCCAGCGACAGGAACTATACCATCAACAGAGTGGCGGACATTCTGATCGCACAGGTACAGAGCTAATTTGGGCAGCTATTGTAAAATTTAGTCTTAGTCTCTTAATCTGTAAATGAAAATGCTTTTAGTCACACTTTATGAATTTTATCCTCAATAGTTTTAGTCTAGTTTTAGTTGACGTTAACTCAATACCGAAGTCGACAAAAAGTCATGACGTTTTAGTCAACTTTTACAGAGAGCCTGGATGACTACTGCATCCTTCTTCAGAGAGTCCATGGTTAAAACTGAACTCTCAGCTCTGTCAGAGAAAACTCTGCTGAGTTTGGACTGTTTACGTGCAGCCCAGCTACACTCAGAGACAACCAAGCCTCCTGCCTGCCTGTCAAATACCAATTGAACCATAAACCTTCTGGAGACAGTCACACATGCACAGAATGATACACAAATTATATGTAATCAGCATAATACATGTGCCACGGTGCAGTGTGAGCAGATACACAACCACAGACTGCAGTAACAGAACAGAGAGATGACAGTGGTCTTTGTTCTCCAGTTCTCAGGTGAAATAGGAGAGAGGATGAAGGACAGCTACGGAGATTTCTGCAGTCACCACACTGAGGCTGTCAGCTACTACAAAGAACAGCTGCAAAACAACAAAAAGTTCCACAACATCATACGGGTAAGACACATTGGTCTTTTCATTTTTGATGTCAGATTTAATCCACAGTACATGTGTGGGAAAAGCTGGAGTGCAGAACTTTTGTCTCCCCCCTCTGGCAGTGAGAGAAATTACACAATGAATGAACGATAACATAAAAGAAAATAAACATCAGGGATAAAATAAATTAAAAATCACTGATTAAAGGGTAAAATTAATTCTGTAATAATACTCAAAATCTAAATAATATAAAGCTAGGTCTTTAATTTCCTTTTGCTTTGCCAATAGCTTTTTGGCAGCTATAGGCTTAATCAGAATTGTGTGAATTTGTTTGCCGAGGGCTTGAAAGTAAGTGACGTTCATTTAAATGTGAAAGTCCCATATTACAGCTTTAAGGGCATTCAGTCAGTTTGCAGTCTGATAAATGTTATACTGAATAATAACCTTTTTTCTTCTCAGAAAATCAACAACCTGTCCATTGTGCGGAGGTTAGGAGTGCCCGAGTGTATTCTCTTGGTGACGCAGCGCATCACCAAGTACCCAGTGCTAGTGGAGCGCATTTTGCAAAACACTGAAGGTCCAGTATTTCATGTGCATTTTACTGCTAAAATAAATCCCTATTGAGAAGAGAACACCTGTATATTTAATGAGGAATAGCTTGACTCAGTATAGTTTTTTATTGCTGTATCTATAAAGTATCACTTTGTTTCCGTCTCTAGCGGGTACAGAGGAGCACGAGGATCTGACTCGGGCTCTGGGTCTAATTAAAGACACCATCGTTCAGGTTGACGCGCTGGTTAATCTCCACGAGAAGAACTCTCGACTCCGAGACATACACAACAAGATGGAGCCAAAGGCGCTGGGAAAAATCAAAGATGGACGAGTGTTTCGCAGGGAAGACCTGGCGCAGGGCAGAAGACGGCTGCTGCACGAGGGCACAGTCAACTGGAAGGCTGCTTCTGGCAGGCTCAAAGGTATGAGTAGGCACAATAAAACAAGGTGCTTTACTTAGCTACTGTTTAGTAATGTGCATATATGTGTTCCAAACCAATATGGCTGGCATTCTGGCCTTAAGAAAGTTTTAAAATGAATTAGTAAAAAAGATACTCATATATCTTTTCAGCTTGCAAATTTACAGGTGTCTTTTGTGGTTGTTATCCTTTTAGATATTCTCGCAGTGCTCCTGTCAGATGTGTTGCTCTTGCTACAAGAAAAGGATCAGAGATACGTATTCGCTACAGTGGTAAGTGATTTATCTTTTCTGTCAATATAACACTAAGAATAACAACATGTGTATTAAAGAGGAATAATTGAGTCATGTGCTGTAAGATGTGAGTGGGAGCAGAATTTGGTTGATGATACACGACAGCAGGGCTGCTGGATTATGGCAGAAATTATAATCATTGATTATTTTGGTCAGAATTGAGATCACGATTACTCAGTGTCTTAGGGAGCATCATGCCTTTGCATTTATAGAACTTTTTTAAAAAGTTCTCTTCAAACGTGGATTTTCTTGAATTTTAAATATTATTCAACTAAAAAACAAATTTAAAATAAATGTAAAAATATATAAATATAAATGGCTAGCGAAAGCGGTAGAGACCCCTAGCTGTTGGTAGAAGAGCTGTAGACTGCGATTAAGCTGAGCAGCATGCAAGGAAAGGAATTACAATATAATATATCTGAATTTATTTCTCGCTTTTCCCCTGATGGTCTAAAGAAAAATGTGCTAGTTGATTTTTAGAAATAAACTCACTAAGGGTGTCTTAAAAGTTGCTTGATCTACTGAGAAAGTTGCCAAGTTGGCAGCACTGAGCGCCCTGCTGTGAAGAAAACAGGTGTGTTGAATTTATAAGACAAGTCAAAATGAGAGCATTATTGCAAAACAGAATGCAGCACAATAACCTTTTTATCTCAGTTATCTTGTTTTCATAGTTGTTTGAAGCCAAAATCATAATTGGAAAAAAAGAACAATTGCCCAGCCCTGAAAATGCTATTACTACCTCAGGTACCAGTAACCGAAAAGCTCTTGTCTCTTTCCTCCTTCTTCTTCATCCCCTTTCATTGTTTTCCCCCCAGGATAACAAGCCGTCAGTGATCTCCCTTCAGAAGCTAATTGTCAGGGAAGTGGCTCATGAGGAGAAAGCCATGTTTCTTATCTGTGCCTCCTCCAATGAGCCCGAGATGTACGAGATCCACACCACCTCCAAGGAGGAGCGAAACACTTGGATGGCACACATACGGCAAGCGGTTGAGAGGTAGCTGCATTCATACAGAGAGGAATTACACAACCTTTCATTACTGTTACTCACATTTTGTGGAAAGTTTTTAAACAAGATAGGGGAAACATTTAGGTATAACAGAAAATGTATCATAACCAAACTCAGTTTGCTTCCTCTGTCTCTCCATCTGTAATGGTTTCTGTCCTGTGTCCTCTTAGTTGTCCTCATACAGAAGAGAGGCTCTTCAGCGAGGAGGAAGATGCAAGGGCTTCAAGGTTCAAAGAATTTCAAGGTAAATGCAGATCAAAAGCAATGACCCCTGGAAAATCATAAAGTAGGTATAGTTGGCCACAAGAGGGTGCTCATGTATCGTCTTAACCTTAAAATTGTTACAAGTTGATTTGTCTTTGTTTTTCTTTACATCTCATCTCAGTAGAAACAGATTTAGGACACACAGATTTTACTCCATGTATCAAAAGCTGTTTATGACACCTATGACTTTTACAGGTGTGATGAAGCATAAGGGTTGCTGTGTAGTTGCACAAGAAGTACACGTGTTAAATCGTGCTTCTCTATCTATTGTTTTAAGGAATTAAGTCCTCTCTTGCTCCTTTTCATGTTTCCCATCGCAGAACGGCTGAGCAAGAAGGATGCAGTGGTCGTCCAGGCTCTTACTGAGAAGCTGCAGCTGTTTGCGGAGATGGCAGAGTCCGTGGCAGGTTTAGAGGACACAGCGTCACGTTCCAGACTTCTGCTTCGAGGAGACGCCTCAGACCTCCAGCAGGGGGAGGCCCTGCTCAAAGGAGCGATTACTGAGGGTGGGACGATGCTGCATGATATGTGTATCTGTTTCAGATGCAGAGGCATTGTGTGAATTTTACACAAGACTTTTGTCAATTTTAGGTTCATCTACTGCAGCTGTGTAAAAAAAAAAATCACTTGATAGGAGCATTGTTGCATTTCCACGTTCAGCTTTTCAACTTCAAAATCAAAAATGTGTTTTTCCCTTTAGCTGTAGTACTATTTATCAGTCTAAATTGTTTCAATGTGAGTTGCAGATTATTGGAGATGTCAGCTGTAGAGATGTCTGCCTTCCCTCAAATATAATGGAACTAGATGTCGCTGAGCTTGTGGTGCTCAAAGCTTAAAATGAACTTGTTGTGAGCGGTTTATTTCCAATACTCAGCAACTCGTACAACAATCTAGACTGATAAATAGCACTACTGGTAAGAGGACGATATCTGTCTATCTATTTCAGGGTGAACTACCCCTTTAACTTGCTGTCTCTTTCACTATAGTGGAGAATCTGCAGAACCTGCTGCAGTCTGGGGTGAGGGAGGAGGCACCACCCTCGCGACTGGAGGAAGGGGGCGGCTCGGGGCTTCTGCCCAGGCGAGCGGACACCTTTGGGGGCTATGATAGCAGCCCCACCATCCTCAGTAAGAGTGAGTCCAGCACAATGCACGCCCTGAGGAAACCTGCCATCTAATGGATTTGCAGTTGTATTTCAGCGGCCTTTATGCCATTAATAAATCCTGAATTCTAAACAAATTTGACTGTCGATTCCTTGAATTGGTTTTATTGGTTGAAGAACAAATTTCTCTGGGGCCTAACTTAAAAAAGAGCATTTCAGGACAGCTGTAGGCAAACATTTATACATGTATATCTGTGTTGTTTATGTGCAGTGTGTGTTATTGTCAATATCTCTATGTACCGGTTTGGTTTAATTACTTGTGTGTGTTTGTCCCTGTGTCCGTTTCCATGTGTGTGTCTGTGTTTTGTGTGTCTGTGCCAGATGGCAGTGTGAAGAAGAACTTTTCTGGCGAGTCCAGAAACAGAGACAGAAGCCAGAGAGCCAGTTCTGACCCTCAGCTCAAAGACCTCTGTGGCAGCCACACCCTGGAGCAGACGGTAGGGGCTCAACACACACACACGCACACACACACAGACAAACAGTATATCTTGGGATGAGTCATACTGTTCCTGTAAATAGTAATGACCAGACCAAGTCATCTGGAAAGTTTCCATGTCCTGATGTTTACTGTAACCCTGTTCTCCCAGGTCAATTCATTTGTTTATAAATAGATAAAGCCTTGATAATATAAGACTGAGACTGATCGGGCAGACAGAGTGTGACGACATGTTGTTGACAATGAGCAGTGTGTGAGAAACAAAGCCAGTTTTACTCCCTGTTGCAGGAAAACATGCCCCATATTGAGTTACTGACAAATATTTGATCGTTGTTATGCTGCTCAGCTCTAAAGCTTGTAGAGACAGTTTTTTAACATTATTTGCCACACAGAATAGTACTAGTTGTACCAACATGGATAATACCAGGAGCTCAGTCAAATTTCTTTTGTATTTTAGTGTCTAGGAGGTACAGAAATTACATCCTATACCTGTATATAGTACGTGCAGTGTGTTTGTGATGTTGTTTCATTAGTATGAGCTGCTGTGTGTCTGACTGTTGTTGCTCAGGTTGATGAGAGCTGCTGCACTCCCGCCAGATGGAACCGCATCTGGTCCAACTCCTTCCCCGAGGCTGAGGTAAGCTCTCCTTCTCTGATCTGTCACCTTGTGCCAAACAACTCTGCTGGATTTGATATTCATAGCCATGCCTACTGAACTGAAAAGATGTACCTATGAGAAGTTTACAAATCCAATTAAATACTGTTGTTTTGGTGATTTCTGTAGTTGTTTGATTATGATAATCTTCCCTTTGTCTCCATTGTAGTTCTTCGACAGAGTGCTGATGCTCTCCCAAAGGCTCTATAGTCTGCAGGTAACTAACTGAAACATGGTATATTCTGTATGTTTGCAGTTTCTCTTTTACTGTACAAGTCCCAGTACATATGTCACATATGTTCTCTAATGACCTTGTGTTATTTTTCACCTGTCCCTGTCTCCGTCTTCAGGCCATCATATCACAACAGGACAGTCACATTGAGCTGCAGCGAGCCTCGTTGACAGAGCGGGCCTCCCTGCCCGGCCGCCACAGAGGGAATGTGCTCCTGGAACAGGAGAAGCAGCGGACTCTGGCTCTGCAGAGAGAAGAGCTGGCGAGCTTCCACAAGCTGCAGTCTCAGCACCGGCAGGAGCAGCAGCGCTGGGAGAGGGAGAGGGAGAGGCACCGGCACCAAGTTGAAGCCACCGAGGCCCGGCTCCGACAAAGAGAGGAGGAATGCAGACGGCTGGAGGTGAAGTGCTCTGTCTTCCTTAGGCCTGTAGGACAAGTTGAAAGAGTGAAAGATGTATGTGAAAGGCTGAATTTCATCAACCCACAGCTCTGCGTTACTTTTGAATTATGGTCTCATTGTTCTATGTTTGATTTTCTCATTTGCAGTGAATAGAAATAAACTGTTCCTTTCTGGAGGTGAAGTCCCTCCTCTTCTGGTGGACCACTATGGAACCTTATTATGGAAAAACTATGTATGGTAGTTAACAGTGAGAGACAAAAAAAAATTTGATCCTGCTTAAATTGTGTTATGAAATACACATATTAAGTTTGTCAATTTAAAAGGAACTTTTGCAAGTCAAGTTTGTTGTTAAAAGGATGAGTCTGAAAATATGGAATTAGAAAGACTACAGTCTTAGCTTTCTCTCTTGCTGAAGCTACGATGCCTGTGTGTGTTTCTCACCGGGATGTACTCACACAAACAACAGGTCTTGCTTGTTCTTTCACGTCCTGGCTGATAAATAAGACCAAGAGTTGCAGGATAAAAAGCATCAGGCGAGATTTCGTCGTATTTGTGCATGGAACATAGCTAGCTAGCTGGTGTTGGTGATGTATATCATGTGAGACGTCACAGTTCACAGAAAGCTTATTGTTCTACGACAAACCTTATGACAAACTCCAGCTTGCTCGACTTTCAAACTTATCTTTTAAATTGATACACATTTCAAACTAAGTTCAAGTGGGGGACACCGAGAAAGGTGCTATTTTGAAGAAACTAGAATATAAAACATGTTTTCAGTTATTTCACCTTTTTTTGTTAAGTACATAACTCCACATGTGTTCATTCATAGTTTTGATGCCTTCAGTGAGAATCTACAATGTAAATAGTCATGAAAATAAAGAAAACGCATTGAATGAGAAGGTGTGTCCAAACTTTTGGCCTGTACTGTATATAGTGGCAGGAACCAATCAGAGGCCATCACATGACCCATATACAGTAATGGTATGACAGGTGAAACTAATAGATAATAATGACAAAAAATCAAGTTAACAAAAAACACAGGATGACATGAGATACCATACCCAGAAAAAACACAGGATGTATTTCACGAATAGTATTTCATAAAAATGTCTTAATGTTGCTTGGTTTTTTTTTTCTGGATGCAGGAGCAACTGGCAGAGGAGCGGCGGGAGCTGGAGAGTCAGAGGGAGACGTACCAGCAGGACCTGGAGAGGCTGAGAGAGTCCACCAGAGCTGTGGAGAAAGAAAAGGAACGCCTGGAGCACCAGAAGAAGATCAAGAGGAAGACTATTGAGGTGGGAACTGGTAGTAGAGATGATGGCCTAACAGTGTAACAAAATACAACATTTGCTGATACAGAAATATCACAGTATGCCTTAATTTTAGAGAAAAGGCTCAAGACTAGCAAGCAGGCTGTTACTAGCTAAGACAACATTTAATTCACACAAATAATTAACTTCAAAAAAGTAAAGGAGCAGCTGTAGTCCAAAAATGGATGTGGACAGCAGACACGCATGCTGCTCTGTTTATACCACATTAGCTGCCTGCATACACGGATGTGTTTGCATGTTTGTCAGTGTGTACGGTCAGCATATTAGCAGATGGTGGAATTCACGTCATGTGGATCCTCCCAGCCACACAGACACAGAAACTATAGATGAAGCTGAAGCTAACAAATGTGAAATATTGGTTCAGTTTGCGATACAGTGTGATTTATTTCAGATACACTTAACTATAGCTTGCTCTTCAGTTTTATTACTGATGACTGATTGTATGAAGGATTTTTATTATTACTATAGTTTGTAGGGGACTTTGATTTAAAAAACGCTTCTGAAAAATAGAAAACTCAGATTGAAAGTCACAAAAGAGCATGCTACTACACTTTCAAAGGTGTGTGTCAGAAAATGGAAAATGAGGTGGAAAGCGGGGTGTTGGGTGACAGGGAAGTGAGGAGGTAATACCAGGAGCTGTGGTGCTGGTGATGATTACTCACATGATAAAGAATGCGAAGGGGCTTTCCAGTCTCTCACTTCCTTTTTCGCCGTTTCTTTGCATCAGTTTTCCAAACCTCTCCCACCTAGCCTCTCTTTTTTTCTCCTTCCATCCCATCCCCTGGCTATGAATCTTGTACCCACCCTTCTAAGGTGGAGGAACACTGAGGAGCCAAATATATGTATGAAGGAACATTTAGTTCTTGAGTTAAGGTAGAAAAGAAGCCTAGGTTTCAGCTCAAACAGCCTGTTTCACAGATGCACAAATGATAAGCACGCATACAACAGAATACATCTCCACCTATGCAGGGAGCAGTCTTTCTCCTCACCTCTCTGTACCTCTGCTTCTCCTCTCTCCTCCCGGTGTTATCCTTCTTTCTCTCCTTGCAGCACAATGCGGGTCATTGTTTGTGAGTTTCATGGGAGAGGAGCTTTGAGAAGGATCCACTGACCGTAATTTCATGCCTGGTGCTAACAGATCTGTCAAGGAGCTACAGTAAAGTTACCTAATATCAGCCTTTAGTGTTTTCAAAGGCCCATATCACCGTCACAGTTTGGTTGATTGACATTCTCTGTGAGAGGGAAGGGCAACTGAGGCATGGGAAGTTTTATCTTGATAAGACTTTATCTTCTCATCAGACCAAGTAGTTACAGACAAACGTGACTGTTCTGGTGTCACTACTGGGGTTGGGCAGTGTAATTTTACAATATCAATATACCATGATACCAATAATTTTCTGTAAAACTTAAACTTCAAACCCTGACAAAACAAAACTCATAACTCATAATGCTATGATGAAAAACATAAATGAGAGAACTAGAAATCACATGAGGGGAGGCAACAGCTTATTTGAAGTCAATAAAACCAAGCAGACTTTGTCTTTGCATCACCAGTTGTTCTCGCCCCGACCCCTTGGCGTTCCTGTTACTTAGCAACCAGCTTGGCTTGACGAAAGAAGGAGTAAGCCAGTAGGGGTGTAACAATCCATCGATCTGGATCGATATATCGATTTAATGATCAACGATCCAATAACAGTGATCCATATCATTACTTTAACATAGGCTTTTATTTTGAAAGTCTGTGTCACTGTCAAACAGCGGCAGGCAGATGGCAAGCACCCAAGAGAAAGAGGATGAGGATAATGTTACTTGGTAAATAAATCAGCAGAGTTGAAATAATTTGGATTTCAGGGCAAATAAGGATCAACAAACAGAGCACATGGCGTATGTAAACAATGACTTTGCAAGATAAAACAAGATGTACCTGCCTGGACGGGCGTCTCACCTCGCTAACTTCTTGCTACAGCAACATTAGCTGCTCTGTTTTAACAATGTTCAGCTAAAAAACATGCATTGTATGGCCAAGAATAAAAAAGAAAGGGGTGGCAGCATCCTCTATAACAGACTGTGTTAAATGGGCATTTAATATCGCCTAATATCGATCGCAGACCCCTGAATCGTACTGAATCGAAATCATATCGTTGCAGATTTTGTAATATCGGAAAACATCATATCATTGTCCAAAGAATCGATATAATATGGTATCGTGATGAAACTGGTCATTTACACCCCTATAAGCGAGTAAGTTAGTTGGCCCTAAATCATGGATCCAGAGATTGTTAGAGATTGTTCTATAGAGTAAACAGTACCCTCTATAGTCAAATCTAGATTGTGTTAACCGTTGAGTGTTGGTCCCTCTGCTCTGTGGGTACATTTTTAAAACAAGCCATCTGGATTTGATCACAGGGAGAGGAGCGTGAACATTAATGACAGCTCCACCACCTGAGTCACACATATGATTCTGTCATCAGGTGGAGGCCATTTAAAACACACCTAATTATGGGACTATTGGCTCTGACTAATGAATGAGTCAGTGTGTTCTTCAGCTTCTTTTCTTTTTTCTGCTTCTTGAGAAAATAAAAAATGTCAGTGCACGTACAAACTGGAGCTCTGTTTTCCACGAATCCGGACAGATCAGCTGACGGGCTGCACTGATACACATGCTTCCATACATGGGACGATGTGTTTTTCTGATTAAGGCTGTCTCCGGTGATGTCATTTGTTCCTCCCTGCTGTCTGACATTCCTACCTGGTCGACGCCTGACAGTTATCTGGACTTGCCAGTGCCTCTCGGTCTAATGCAAGAGAAGTAACTGACAGATGACACAACGCCATCCATTCAAGTCTGGACTTGTCCTCCCCCCAGAAAAAAGCTACAGTGCTTTTTTGCAACTGAGTGTTCCGGTGTTTTGTTATTCATCTACTGCAGTTTCACTCATAACATCTTGAGACATCTGGCTGCCGATCTACCATCCCAAAGATTTCATGGTAACAAGATTTGTCAGAGACGTGCCTCAGTCCTCAGTTAACTGCAGTCTTAACTCAAGACGTACACAAACACAACCAGCTGACATGAGTTATTGCATTTCTCTTGTCATTACTGACTCTGAGCAGTACCTAGAACACTTCACAGGGACTTCTTGAAAACCACATCCTCAGGCTAGACTGACCTCATCTGTTGTGATGAGTAATGGCGGGACCCTGGTAATTACAGAGGCCGTTACTGAAACAGTGGCGGTAAATAGGATTGTTATGTGGTTTGTTTGTTTGTTGCAAGGACTGCAAGATAAAACCTGAAGCAGGTTAAATTTAGACCCTATCGAGACTCATCACCCCATTAAGTCATGCCCATAATATTTGTTTCAGACCAGCTAAGTAGTGTGTTTGTGTGTTTTGTACACACTCAGAATGTATGGGTTGCAGCTCCATACTGTTGGCTGCACTGTGGGAATTTCTTGGCTGCGGTAATGGGAGATTTGGAAGCGGTTTGTTCCCCCTCTGCGTCAAACACATCAAACAGTCTTTTCATCAGCTGTGACCTCAGGATCTGTTCCAGGCTTTGGGCCAGCCTGATATCAACAGACATTTAATCACCAGCACCCAACATTAAGACTCATCAGCAAACCCGTGGAGCTATGATTAGACCTCATAAAAAAAAAAAATACATGCCTCCCTGTAAGTGTGCGTGTGTGTTTCGGAACATATGTGAGTGTTTGCACAAGAACGGTGCTAGTTGCGGCATGTCCTAACATCAGAGGAACTTCTCTTTTATGTGTTACCTCATGTGATCGCATTTGGCCTCTTGATAAGGAATGCATTGCATTTTTTGTTTGGCTCTACCCCAACAGAGCCTCGGGTCCGATTGCTCAATAATCCTGTGAGTGCAAAGTCACAAAACGTGTTCATAATCAAGGTTAGAGCTGGAGCTAGGGATTTGATTGACAATAAATAGTCGAGAAGAGAAATGACCTGCAAAATACAGCAAGAATCACTGCAACAAAGATAAAAAAAATACGGACTGGACTTAAGACTACAAGGTCAAAGGTTCAATACCTGCACTACTGTGGAAGGAAATGCGTCAATGAGTAACTCCTGCTGTCTTTAGTAAATTATTTGAGGTGCCTTTAGGCAAAGCATCCAGTTTAACGAGTGCCCCTTTCTCCTGCTTCGCCTGCAAGAGCAGAAAATTGTTAAACTGGATTGCCACCTGGCGTGAGTAAATACATGACAGAAAACATTGCTAAAAACCTGCCAAGATTTGCGAAGTTCAAGAGAAACATTAAAAGGTCAGTCATAAACGATGACCTGTATCTGTGTTTCTCACACTCTGAGTTAACTTCCCCTCTTTGGCCTCAGTCTCCAGGCTGATTTATTTCACGGGGTCTGAAAAACCCTTGAAGAGTCACCCTTTACACATCAACACCCTCACCATGTACACACACACACACACACACACCTATATGCCTGTGACTGGCCTCTTCTATAATCAGCCGGTAGCAGTTGCTTTGAGAGGCTAAGACAGAACACCAAGCTCGAGGGCAGATATTTTCTTTTTACGCCATCTGTCACTGAAGCTATCCCACCTGTTCGCTGCACACTGTATGCAGTACTGTTCTGTGGCCATCTTCAGCTAAAATATTGTCCAAAAAATTACCCATGTGAAAGAAATAAGTGGCTGGATATAGAGTAAGTTGAAGATTTCAGGGCGTCTTGTCTGTTTCCAGACATTGTTTCTTGAGATACGGCTAATGTGATCTAATAATGATTTTCATTATTAATGAATCTGCACATTATCATTATTTTTTATAGTTTTAAAAAACATTAAGAGTCCAGTATTAAATGTTAAAGTCCAAAATCACGTCATCAAATGTCTTGTCTGACCAAAATAGCTGGAATCAGAGAATGATGGTTATTGAAATGGTTCTTTAAGTGACTTATCGCTTCAACTCTAATGTGATGTCCCCATATATTGTATAAAGTGGATGTAGCCACTGTGATGTCACCAATTGATTCGTGAACCCATTTTGAATCCTCAAGTTTGGATTGTAGACATCTTTAATTTTTTGAGTCGGAAGTGACCATATTTGGTTGAGATGGTGAAGATAACTCTAATGCTAGCTGCTAATGTGGTTAGCACGAGGCATTTAAAACTATGGTTAACTGTGATAAAGCTAATGCTAATTTTTGCTACCAAAAAGAAGACTTAAAACCGTTTAAACAAAATGAACTCCCTTGAAAAACTGACAATCGTACTCATTAGAGCAGGGGTGTCAAACATATGGCCCGGGTGCCAGAACCGGCCCACCAAAGGGTCCAATCCAGCCCACTAGATGACTTTGCACACCTCATACTAATGCTAGGCAGTGTCGGGTCGAAACACTAGATACTGAAATTCAATGAATACTTTCTGTGGTCAGATTTAAAGCTATTGAACACTGTGCAAAATATTGTCAACCAGCAGCTTCAGTACAAAAGAATCTGTATCAGCCTTCTGTCTTGAAACAGTGTAATGAAAGTGAGTAGTCGACTGACTGAAAGTAGAAAAACTGAGACATACTGTTGAATTTGCACATTTTCTGAGGTTATCGTGGGCTGTTCATCATTAGTTTTGTAAATGGATGAACATTTTCACAGTTGACTTCTTTACATAAATAAGGGAAACATTTTAAGAGGTTGTTATTTATAGGTCACTATGTAATGGTTTTAGTGGACCACTGGAGGTCAAAGTGGGTTGTATGTGACCCATGAACTTAAATGAGTTTGACACCCCTGTGTCAGAGGGTCTTTTAGTGCAACCAAAACATTACAATTAACTACGCCTGTGCCCTGTGAATTTTGGATTATGCTATGGTTACGTTACCTTACCAGCATTGTCGCCGTGTCACCAACCTGTTTAAACAGGTGATTTCCTTTTGTAAAAAGAAAAAAAAATCTGTAGAGGCCAAAACTGTTGTGTACCAGGCTGTAAGCATGTTTATTTCTGCTGTAAAGTTGGGCATTTTAATATGGAGGTCTCTGGGGATTGGCTTGCTCTTGGAGCCAGTTTTGGCACTTTGCAGTTTTTGGCAGGAGTCCTGACACTGAATCATTGCTCATCACCAAACTTAATAAAAAACAGTATTTACTCTGCATAATTATCACATTTGTAAACTGTATGAACAACTTGAACAAAATTTGATTTTGGATTAGACCAATTTGAGGCTGCAGTGTTTATTAATCTCAGTAATTCAGCACAGATCAGAGCTGCACATGGCCCATAGAAACTAATACTCAAGTCAGTATCTCACACATGTTCACTACCACACGTCAGCTGGGCTAGGTAAGCTTCAGCAACCAGTATCTCTTTCCCACTGGTGTCACGTTGTGTACAAGGCGACACATTGTGCAGTGAGTGGAGATATGTATGATATGGGAGTATCCAGGCAGTTTGCAGGATGAGAGGAACCTGGCCGTATAATTAGCTCATCCAGGCCTGTCATTAACGGAAGCCTCTGGAAGGCAGCCAGTGCTAATTGTTTATGAGCTGTCAGTCAGGGCTCTTTGTGCTCTGAAGCTTCCGCACAGTTTACTGCCCTGGAAACCTGGTGTTTGTGCCGCTTAAAGCCCATCACCTTGTTCTGGGAACAATGCAACATCTGTGTGCCAAGATGAGTGAGTGCTGAAGGAGGAAAAATGATGAAGGGGAGGAAGAAAGGGGAGATTTAGGGAAGGAGTTATGGAAACTTTCCCACTGCAGGGGCCTCTCTCTGCCTCAGGGCCTGTCATGCTCTGCTGTTACAACTGGGGGAAGCGCACACATACACACAGTCACAGTCAGATGAGTTTGCCCTTCATGCCTTGTGAAACACTGTCATCATGTGTTCCTCTTCTCCACAGGAAGTATTCTACATCATCATCAATCATGTAGCATGTGGACTGAATATCAAACAGAACAGTTACAGACTGATGTCAAACTTTACGTTAAAGACATTTCTGATGATAAAACTGGTGTTAGACTCACTCATGTTTGTTTGGTGTTACATTATCATGATGATACAGGCCTATTTCTTAAAATGTCAGATATAGATGATATGATGATAACTGTGTTATCAGCTTTGTCATGTTAGTTTGCTTATTTAACCAATCAAACATACAGATTAAAAGTTGTTTCACTAGTCAGTACCATCATTTCACATTAATAACCAGTAGTCACTTGTAGTGCAACATCTATATTTCATTTCTCATAAATAATGCATTTGTATTATCATTGAAATGAAATTTTTTACTGTCGCATGTTTCAGTGGCTTTTCAACGCAGCTGAGATTCAAATTCAAACCAACAGCGTCTCTGTAAAATGTTACTATTTGTGAAACTTTATTAATAAAAGGTCTATTCAGACATAAATTATTAGTAAGTGGCTGCTCAAAAACCCACATGTACTTGTCCAGCTATGATCAGAACAGATTTTGGAAAGTTTTAACAACTGAGTTTATATTAAAGTTCTTTCAGAAAGGACCTGCTGTTAAAGAAGGTCATGCACAAAGTTTTGCACCTTTGCTTTATCTTATAATAGCTCTAAGCTAAAATTGGTATAATGGAAATAACCTGGACTGCTTGTTTTTTTGTGTTTTTTATTTGAAAAAAAAATCATTTAAGGCAACCAAAAGACGCAATACATGTTAATAGACATGATCAGAAATGCAGGTGTGTCTGAAATAGCTGGATTCTGTCACTCATTTTTGGCCCAGAATAATTAAGAATTTTCTCAGGGAAAAGTTTTAGTTTTACATTCTGTATGATTGTGATCATTCCAGCAATCAGTCTTTGTTAATGGACTGGAAATCCCCCTAATCTCAATGTTCTCAATCAGCTCTTGGCTTTAATCAGCCAAAACATCAAGCACTTTTCTTTATGTTCGAGTCGTCAGAAAAGTCATTATCATATGTATTGATCTTAAATATTTGAAACGGTTTCAAGTCTCATTTTTCCACATCGATAGACTTGTACCAGCTGCTCTTTGTCACTCTCTCTTGTTGATAATGTTTGCTGTTGTCATTCTTATGTTCTCTGCTACTCACCAAGAAAAGAAAAGTCGTCATTGTCATGTTATAGCCTTGTTATATTTATCTTCTGATAGACATTTTAACTTGTATGCCCCCAATATTTCCCTATGAAATTGAAAATGATATAGAATATTAATATTTTTCAAGGTATTGTATCGAAGTTGAAAAATACCAGTAATGTGACAACACTGCTTTATGTATAACCAAAGCTGAACAGCCAAAAATTGCCATTTTTTTTATGTTTTGACTTTTAATTTTGATGTGTGATATGCAACATGTTGAGTCACAGTTCTGTAGAAGGGCTTAAGCATGGTGAAAAGATGTCTGTTATAGTTCATGTGATGCAGGATATGTGGGATTACTAACTCAAACAAACCCTACACCACTCCATTGTTGCCGAAATCCTCCTGGTCAATGTGATTGAATGCAGATTGGATGATAATGTTGACTCCATCTGTAGATCATCTTTCCTTCAGTCTAGTAATTAAGTGGACAATGCAGTCAGTGTCTTTTATCCACTGATGTCATGAGAGCCATTTTCTTGTTCCCCTACTTGTCTAACAGCCCTGCCTGTTTTGTTAGGCACGCCTTTATGTGCACAGGGACTATTAAGGGTTTTATGTTTCTCATTTTGTGTGTGTGTGTGTGTGTCTGTGCGTGTGTGTTTGTGTGCGTGCATTGTCCTTGAGTCTTTTGGAACACATCAAAAGCCTGTTACCAAACTTACCAAAGTGTGTGCTCAGCAGAAAGAGTCGCATGTGTTTCTGATTCCCTCTGTAGCCCATAAATACCCTGCTCCTCAACAGATTATGTTTCTGTAATGACGGCATCGCACAGACGATTTATACTGCGTATCTGCGTGTGTTTGTGTGTCTTCTATACTCTTAGGCTGTTTTAAGTTTTGTTTTGTTTTTTGTCTTCAGAAATATACTCTCATACATAGCTAACAGCAGGCTGCTTATACACACACAACATGCAAACTCCACGTTCCACAACTGCGATTCTAAACTGAATCCGACCACAAATATGGATAATTACAGTGCAGAGTTGGGAAGACATCCTCTCTGAACTTGAATACTGATTTTGAAGTCTTATATGATGATGTTTACAACAATTCCTCAGTCATCTTTCAGCAGATAACATCCAGTATTCTTCTCCTCCAGGTGGCTCCTATGTCCGGCAGTCTGAACGGGGAGCTGCTCCTGTCCTCTGGCCTCAACACCTCCACCACTGTCGCCGACCTGCCGCTGCCTCAGAAGCCCCTGGTGCGCGCCAGCCTGTCTGTCGCACCGGCCGACTATCCAGAGCGCCCTGAAGTGATGCTGCGGCGGGACACAAGCTCTTCCACCTTGCCACTAAAGACGGAGGTGCCGCTTCACCTCTTCAGCACCACCAACCAGCAGCACAAACTGGTGGGGGTGCAGCAGCAGATCCCCACCAAGCTGGCTGCCTTCAGCAGCGGCAAAGGGAAAGGAGGCAAGATAGGCAAAGCCTCACATCGCACAGACAGCACTGGTAAGGAGTTAGACCTCACAGTTAGGGTCACACCTGTGTACCTTTCCATCTCTGAACATCTGCCGAAAAAATTAATCAACAGTAACTGAAGCACACACACATCTGTACACACGGAGTCTGCTCTACAAACAGTCAGTAAGGCCCTGTAAATACCAAAGCTGCCTTTTTTCCAGCTCTTAAACCTGGCGCTCTCCAAGAAATAGCTGGCAGGGAGTGCTTGAGAGTGCTTTAGTGGCGCAGCACTTTTTCAGTCGAGACAGTTGATTGTTTCTGGTTGATACAGAATATCCACAAAATATCAGTGCAAGGTAGAGTCTTTGCTCCGGGTGAAGGGAAGGCTGAATCACTTATGGAGAAAGGATGGACCTGCTGCTCTACATGGGGCATTAGGGAAAGATATATTATTATACACAATATATAGATATATTTCTCCTCCATTATTGTCAGTGTTGAGCACTCGTACGTGTAAGATGTGACAGTTGGTCTTTGTCCCTCCAGTTTGACTGGACGGCTAGGTAGGTAGGACAAGTGTCAAGCACAGCATTTTACCCAAGCGGCACCCCCCACAGACCCCCATGTTAAAATGCCCAACTTCTCAGTAACAGTTTTGGTCTCTTTAGCTATTTCCCATCGTCATGATGACTGTACAGGTTTGTTTTTTTTTTTTTAATATATAACTCATCTGTTTGCATTTGATTAAGGCTTAATGTTACACCTAATTAAAAGCGAACAGCTTTGAATGACAGGCTGTAAGTTGATAGTGTCCACAGCTCCACCCTCTTGCCCAAATATTGGATCATAAAAAAGTATGATCGCCTCAGGAAACAACGGTTCAGTAGATACAGCCCCTAATGTACACATTCATAGATGTGCATACTATGGCTGCAGCTAACTGTAACTGTCATTTTTGATTGTTCTGTTCTTTATTTTTTCAATGAATCATTGGTTCTTTACAACATGCACAACAGTTTCCTACAGCTCATGATGACATCATCAGTCTGGCTGGACATGGGCTCAAAACTTATATGAATAATATTTAGTTTGCTACAAAGGAAGGCAGGAAAACAACACATCCTAACTACTAATCGTTGCAGCTCTCATGCATTCTTTAATGTACATCTACATATTAAATACAATGTTTTTTTTCTTGCATATGCGTGCATGTATGCCAAGGACTTCTGGGAAGAAGAGATCTTGAATCCCAGTGAGACCTTCCTGGCTAAATAAAGGATGAATAAATAAATAATATCATGTAACTGATATTTTAATGGGACTTTAACAGCCCTGTAATGTCACATACAGTGTGAATGAATAGTCTGTATGAGTAAACATACAAAGGATGATGATTTCATCTTTTAAGTACAAAGAAAACAAAGACAGAGGAGTGTCGCAGTGAAAGGACAGGGTGAGGTGTGTGACTTTTCTGTTACACTTGCACCAACAGTGCATCAGTTGCCAACTCATACCTACATCAGATTATCATAACAGTATGCTCTTTCACAATGTGGCGCCTGTTACACTGAGGTTTTCTCCTCTCTTATTCTTGCAGGTGATGTATAACAATGCAGCATGATCGGTTTTAAAATGAAATTTTCTCACCCACTCTTTGTCGGTATACAAGCCATCTGTTCCTGACATGAGCTTGACCCGATCAGCATGATTTAAGTGGCTCGTTAGGATCACATTAGCTGTCTAAATTGGGTCAGCCCTCTGATTTATCAAATCGGAGCCTGAGAGAGAGGCTAGGCCGCGCTAGTTTACCAATGCAATCTAATTTTACAATTAAATCACCTTCTGTCTCTGTTTGTCTCGGTTTCTTTGCTCCCTCTTCCTCTCCCTCCCCTGGTCTCCCCCTCCTCCTCCTCCTCCTCCTCCTCTCAGCCTCAGTGGATATGAAGCAGATGCTGCCGCTGAAGCTGTCCGCCCGAGACGACAACGCCCTCAAGGCCAAGCGCTCCATCAGCCCCCACCAGCAGCTCCCGCTGTCAGCCCCTCCTCAGCCTCAGTCCCTGCATCAGCACGCAGGTACCTTTATACACACAAACTGCTCATATATATACACACACAAACACACACACACACACTTCCTCCTTCGCTCCGTTGGGACAAACCCAAACACAATCTCCTCCCGTCTGTCTTTGCCTGCTGCATTATTAAACTTGGTTCTCACAGACACAAACATGAGACGCACACATTCTCCACCTGGGCAAACCGGACGCCACCCGATCACGTTCCTGTCTCAAGCTTACATTCACGCCTCACCCTGTGTAAACACCCATCAGTTTCACATGCTTCAGTGTGATTAATGGCAGGCTGTACCGCTGACACAGACATTTTAACACTTTAATCCTCTGCCCTCACAATTACTGCTGAGGCAGGATTCCAGATGATAGATTTCAGTGTATAATGCTATTTTTGGATTAATCCCTTGCTCTCTAACAGCCTTTCTTGCATGTCTCCGACAGATCAACTCAGTCCCCCAGACAGCGCCGGGCCAGACACCCAGTCCACCTCCTCCATCAGCACCTCCCACCCTCCAAATGTCCAGAAGCCCCCCATGCCTCTTTCACAGTCTCATCCTCAGCCCTCTGTGCAGCCTCCCGCCATCCCTCCCCACTCTCAGAGCACCGGCTCCCTCCAGTTCCCATCACATCTGCAGCAGCACGGCCACAGTCCCAACGCTCAGGCACATGTCCAGGTAAATGTTCACGGGCTCACTCACAGCCACAGCATGCCGCCACCTTACAAGATTGCCACAGAGGACCTCAATAAGGAGGACGTCATCTTCTTCTAAACTGCAGTCTGCTGCCCTCAGATCAACCACTAATCACAAAAACAGAAAAAAAAGAAGAGAATTATGGGATAGTTGCAAATTAACGATGTGTCAGCCTCCAAGAAGCCACTTAAATGCGATAATGTGATGTTGATGGTTGTTGAGTGTAGGCAGCTGTGGTGTTACTAAGGGCTGGTCAGGTAAGACGGTTTAAGTATCTTTACACAGCAGCAATCCACAGCAGAAAGCAGAACCTTTGTCAGCACTTCTGTGGTCCACACAGAAAGAAAAAATGATCTTGAAGGAAAGATGACATTTCTATTTTAACAATGCTATGTTTTTAAGATGCCACAGTTTCTTTTTATTTAAGTTTTAGTTTAAGTTTTTAACTCAAGAGGACAACAAGTATGAGGAGGAAAACAAAGACTTCTTCTAACGTGTTGGAAAAGGTTTAAATGAAGTTTAACCAATCCAAAGACATTAGCTGCGGGAGCTGATTTGACTGAAAAGGACAATATGAAAGAAAAATGGTCGGGTGATTTTCAGACTCCGGTCAGGCTGGTCTGTGATGTGGGGGAAAAAAGCGAAAGGTGCAGCGATGGCGCTCTGGCCTTAACCATCTGCATCTTCTGGACCTGGATTCGCAAGAAATGATTCAACAGGAAGTCAGAAATGATCCAACTCTTAATACAGGAACACTTTCTGCTTGATGTTTCATTTGCACAATGTAAATACTCCATTCCAGACTAATGAATGAGCTTTTATGGACAACATGTTTTTCGTTTGGTTTTACACGTGTCAAAATTTTTGAAGGTTCATTTCATTGTGTTGTTCTTGTTCTTCTTAACCACGCGGTGGAGTACATTTCAAGTGTTGCCACTGGTTGTGAAACCTGAAACAGGAGTTATTTTTTCAGACTGGTGTGTAATAATTCATTTCAAATAAGGGAGAGTTCAATTTGCGGCAAATTCATTTTTTTCCCCCAACTCATGCAGAGTGAACAAACTCAGGGAAGTCTTTATTATGTCTGCACAGTTTGAAATTGTGTCTCAAAGGCCTTTGCACACTGAGTCTGTTTTTTTTGTTCAAAATTATCACACGTCTAAAAATCCATGAGAGACATTTGACCAGGAATCAGTGAAGAAAATGTAGCAGCGGGACACAGCCATGACAAGACAGAGGAACAGGGTGCACACAATCATTTCATAACTCAGACAGCTCACTTTCAACAGGTCAGATAGAAACATTCAGGTGGATTATGATGAAGAGGAGGTGGATGTAGACCACACATAAGATGTGGAGGACAGCTTAGCTCTGTCATGCAGCTGTGGTGCCAAATGAAAGACGGAGGGAGTGGTGACAGCCAGATTGGTAACTCCAGTTTAGAGAGGCGGAAAGGAAAGGAGGAAATGTGTCTTTTGATTTTGTCACATATTAGGAATTTTCACAACAAATACAACAATAAAACGCATCAGAATCTGTTTGCAAGGTTTCTTTGCGTAACGATTTTTTCAGATGACGGATTTAAAAAATGCATCGGAAAGAAATGGACTCAGTGTGCAAAGGCCTTTACTTGCATTATTCTCAAAAACACAGGTTTTACTGTACAATCATTATTCTTGCATTAATAATATTCCTAAAAAAACATTTCACAAGTACATTTTGTTGCATAATTTAATACAGAAATTTACAACAGATAAATATGTACATTTAATCATGTACTTAAATTAAATTAGCCTTCAGACTTTAAGAGTTTAAAGGTGTATTTGAATGTAGAACACAATTGCGCACACTCTGGCTCAATATGCATTTCTTTTATTTTGATAATGTTTCGATCTTTGGGCCATCTTCAGGATCAACAAACATATGTGATATATATGTCATATACTTCCCAAACTTTTAGCAGAGCTGCTCTTGACCCTGTAGGAAATGAGCTCATCTTTGCAGCACACTGCACCGTGTAGACATCAAAAAAGCCTCGCTGAGTTTGTTCCACTTCATGTCAAGTATCCCTTTAAGAGACACATCTTTGAGAAACACATCTGTTGCCATTTAAGTGGAACCGTAGTGCACTGTGTAATTCATGACATTTCATGCTGCATGTTGTTTTAAGGGCAAAATTAACTTTTTATTTTGAAAAAAGAGAGAAGATTTGGGGTTATAAACTTTCAAGACGACAAAAATAATCACAAGTTTCATACAGAGTTTAAATGCACTGGAAATATTTAACCCATCATCATAATAACAGAAATATGACTTTCTGATTTTGCACTAGTTGATCCAGTAAAATAAAGGCCTCTATGTGTTATCTCCAGATGAGTCAGATATTGACAGTAAGGCCCCACTGTGCATACTGGAGTTAAAACTGGTGTCAACACTGTTTTATATCTCTCAGTCTCTGTTATTCTGGATTGGCTTCACTGATATGATGCATCATATTATAAACTACACATTCTCCCTCTTTAACCACACATATATAGTATGTACAGTATTCTGGAGAAATGTGTTCAGAACATTGAAGCAGTTTAAAGGTTATGGATTGTAGCCTAATTTTTCACTCAAGTCAGGAAATGAAAAGTTCAGCGAGTCACACTTTTGAAAGCAGGATGGGTTCATTTCAGATATAT